GAATTAGTAGATGGATCGATTTCTCGATCGATTAGTGGACAGCTTGCTGATGTATCTATGAATCATATTTCTGATCATTTCTGGCGTCCGAAAGACAGATCGAAAGCGGTTTGGTTTAACAGAATTAGGATTGCATAAGAGCAAAACGATTAGAGTATCGAGTCTGCATGCGTGAAGAATTATGAAAGATGATACGATAAGTATAAACATTTGGTACGATACAAATTGGCCAACCCGCAATCTACGAGATCGTTCTTGCTTCGTTAACCAGATTGATATACGTCTGCAAAGATTTAGCGGGATGGCTGTAATTATTTGCAAACGATTATTTACGCGGTTCGAGCATTTCTTCTTTGACACTGGCAATCTCATTTCGTAATCTTAAAGCGAACTTCATTAACCGTGCAAACATTTTTATTGATAAAACAGACTTCGTGAAGCTGCTGCAGGATTTCCAAGTTGTATCTACATAACAGGAAGTTTCTTCAAACGATTCTACTATTTTGTTTTTATTTTAGAGCCATTAAGTGTCCGTAATGAACGGAAACGATCGTCTTTTTTTTCTTTTTCAATCCTGCCGTCCATTGCTGTATACTCGCTTCTTCGTTGTATTTAGGTATATAATTTTCATCGTTAATAATTCTTAATTACATCGATAGGAAATTATGGAAAATATAGCGTCGTTTAATTCGCGGTCATTAAGCAGTCTGTAGTCCTACTTAATATCACGAACAGAAAACGATTCTGATTTCTCTCTGATAAGCTGAAAATCGTAGATTACCAAAGTTTTCTAACTTATTGCTTACAGAACATTTTCAACATTGTTTCAACTGCGATTTCTTTTTATTCCCTTAATTACCAATTCTTGATTTTTTAAATCGTTATTTTTTTTTAAATATTCTCAACTTACGAATAGAGCAAGTATTTGTAATTTGTATATTTCTTTTCTAACGATTTTTTTCGTTGGCCAATTTTAGAAATTAGAAAATATCAAAATTTTCTTCAGTCGGATATTGTCACAAAATTTGCTATCGAATTTCGATTATATTAAAAAGAACTTTGTACGTTCGCATTGAATGGTGGATGAAGAATCGCAGCGATTTTATAGTTGACAATGAATTAATGGGACCCTTTTAAGCGCAATGATTCATCTGGCAGCAATCTCCACGAAACGAATCGGTCAATTTAAGATTACAAATGGAAGGTTCGAGCCTCTCACGACTACAATGTCGAATAGATTGTTAATCTTCGATTTAGATCCTGTACGAGCTCGCTCGAAATAACCCGATGATCTATTCGTCGGTAAAATTTTTGCAGCAATAAATCTATAATAATACAGAATTCTATTTGTACATTTTCTAATTGAAAATGCTTATATTTTGGTACAATTCTTTTATACCTTTGAAACGATCCGTTGATCTATAAAAATCTGATTATACTAAAATTTTTCAAATTTATCGTACCTTTGACTTATCCTCTGGTACTCCTTATTTCTTCGCTTCTTTAGCATCACAATGTAAAGCATAGATACAGATCCAATCAAAATCCAACCAAACGATCATTCTTCATATAGTATCGCTCTAAATGCAACAGAGTTAACGTTGGATCATCCACAGGGATCAAACCGCAGGAGAGAAACCGGTGCTATTGTGGCATCATCATTATAATCATCGTCGTCGCTCAGTTCCCAATGGATGGAAGCACTGCCTACACGTGCAATTCTGCGAATCCCATTCGCAGCGAAAAATTTTTCCGAGTTGCACACAGGAAGCAACTCGTACCGCGAGATTAAAGGGTGAACAAGCAACGTCGATCATATCTGCTCGCTCATTTCATTTCAGTCCTGACTCAACTACGACGTATAACTGTAAAGCATATTTTTCCATTCATCAACGAACACGTAATAATCTAGAAACATTTAATGTCATCTAATTACTTTCGCTTTTTTCTTAAACGCTATTATTTAACTAATATTTCTCAGGCAAGGTTTTTCTCCATGCGTCTAAGATCAATGTTAATCTTCCAGAACGATGAGTAACTCGAAGAAAAACATTTCCTGGATAACGTCGAAAGAAGAAGAATAACGCCTTCCTCACCATTAGGCTAATCTCCATCATGTAAGTCACTTACGTAGAGTCTAAATCGCATCATAAAATTAAAACGTCGTTGGATCATACGTCTCTAACAATTTGTTCTAATTAATTATGAAGCCTTCAGGCCTACTATGTTCATAAGGAAATATCCTCGTAAAATTCGTTCTGCAGTCTGATTATCACTTGGCCAGCAATAACGATCGTTTTTTCTGACGAACACTGAGCGCCCTGTGCAAACTGGGTGAAAAAGAAGACGTGAATAATGAGGACGGCGAAGCGAGAGATGCCACTAACTTACTTCGACCTATGCTGACCATAAGAAACATTGACCCACTCGTAAACGATCTTTAAAGCTTTCAGACAATCCATCTTTGACTTTGACAAGCATCCTGACGAAGGAATAGGTTACTTCGTACATGAATCATGTGATATCCAAATGAAAAGTCCAGGACGAGGTCAGGTTATTATATTTTCTCATAATAACGAAATACGTAAGCACATTCGAGTCAATGATGCAAAAGAATCGAAATCTTTTGTTTATGGGTTTAAGTTTTTGCTTCTGGTTAATCTCACAGACACTTTCCTTGAAAAAAAGGAAAAATAAGAGAGCGAAGTGTCCTGTTGAAACATCAAATAAAATTCTTCTTCGTGGAAGGCATCGAAGTATATGTCACCTTGTCATGGAAAATTTCTTCGTGGAAAACTTTAAGATATATTTCATCTTATGTATCTTTGTTATACGATATATACTTTAGAAGATGATAATATGCTCTCCTTTGTTAGTCATGTTATTTCATCCCGCTACTCCTCTTCGATAATTACACATTATACGATATTTTTATTTCTAATTAGCGATAATATAATTTCTATCGGGCTCATGATTGTCAGGTGTCCAGTGAAACTCGTTTGATCGTCGAGATTACACGTTTAAAAACCTCATCAATGGATGAATGTAAGCCGGTTTGTATGAGAGAAAATGAAAAAATTGAAAAATATATTCTTTCTCCAATATCGTATCAGTTGGCTATTGAACGTAATTGATAGATCATTCAGATGAAACAGCTTTATAGTTCGATATGGTGAACCGGACTCTGAAAAACACCAACACGTTCTATCATTATACTAAATATACACTGCTTTTTACCAAATACTCTAAGAATCTCATTTACTAAGTATTTCGAGCGTCAACTTTCTTTTATGAAGTTTTTCAAACAGAAGTTTTAAAATTGTCATTTTACCTGAAGTAATATTTCAAAAAAATACCGAGCTTGTTTTTAGAATTTTTAGAGATTTTCGTAATATGTAAGAGAGATAATACATCTTCATGCAAACTTAGAGACCGTAAATAAAATTCAGGGCGTGGCATGGTTGTAATACAATCGGCATTACCATTTGTTCGGACACCCAATGATCTGTTACGCAGCTTCTTAGCATTTTACATAATTTATTCGACTCCTACACGATAACAGAAAAGAAGGCACGACTATGACAACTACAGCACAATGTGCCACCTCGGCGAAATAATTGATGTCGAACCAGACTTAACGCTCTATTTAAATGATAATGATACTAATTTTATCAATACCAACAAATTTTCGAATGATCGATATTGATTAATAAGTATAAAACATAATGGCATATATTTATTGTAATTATACTATCTACGAAACTACTATAGGATAGTACAGTAACTACAAAGTAGAATACAGTACCGTAAAACGGTATATACAGTACATATATTATACTACACCGTTCCGTCGCAGAGTATCGTTAAACAGTGTTACACATTTTTAAGTAGCATTCTGTAATTTCGTACAATGCTACACAATGTAGTACTGCATAATTTAATATACTTTCAGTAAATTACTACATTGTATTAAGTACCAATAGCCAAGTATATCATTGGAGGTTATGAAAATATTGAATCTATTTCATCACTACTGCATAACTAAAATTTTCGTCATCTAGAAATTACAATATAAATTCTTTCATAAATAATATCCAACATGTATTTATTTGTTGTTGTTAATAGATAATAATAGAATAGTCTTTGGCGCTATTAATATGAAATATGATAATCTTACCACCCAAGTAATTACTAATATACTGTATAACAAGTATATGAACATATTTGCACATGTATTCTACTTACTATTTCTAAAGCATTAGCGTAATTTTTGTACGTATATTTCATAAATATTCTTTTAAGTTTTCACATATGATAAACTTGTGCACTTATGTATATCGTTGTATGAATCCGCGGGCTATACCTTATTTGATATTAAAATAATTACCTATTACGCATGCGTAACTTCTCATATAACTGTATACTTTTCCTAAAGAAATTTCGAGAAAAGAAAAAAGTTTTGAACAAAAATTAAAATATCAATGTCATGCCACATATGTTATCAAGACTTTTGTCCTTATCTTTCAAATTTAACCAAAATATTTAAAGAAACAGAAGAAAATTTTGCAATTTTCATACTCATTATTGTAATTGAATTTTAAATAATCAGAAATAAATGAAAAATTTGTGCACTAAAGCATTTACCTGAGGACAAATGACGCAATGCACTATCTATATTGATCAATTTAACAAATAATGTAATACATCATTTTCTGTTCAATTATAATATATTATTATTCAAGCTTTCTCGTATCTTTATATTTTACGTTCTGTTATGGCTTTCTTCTTAACTAATATAATCGATTGTCGGTAACATACATTTTATAGACATTTTACATTCGTTTCATGACGAAAGATGGCAATTTAGTTCTTTCGATAACAAAGTATCTGTTAAGGTAAATTTTCATACTCTTATCATTTATAATATTCATATTGAAAGTTTTTCGTTAAAATTGTAAAATCTACGTACTGAAATAGATACTGGATGATGTTTATGTAAAATGTTAATTTTTACATCTAATTTGTATTTAAAGTACTTAACCTCATTTTTGTCTGCAACAAAAGTTTATAGACAATTTTTAAGAAACCATTCAATAGTGGTATATAAATTAAAAATGAATGAGGCTATTTTATTACACGAAGAAGGAAGTGATATCTTCACCATGTCATTACGTTACGTTCAATCCGATTTAAATATTGATAGACAATTCAATTTTAATAGGAGGATTAATGAGCCTATAAGTAATTTTACTCGAAGAATAAAAACAAATATTGGTTTGCAAGTAATGAAAAAAATGTATTGTAAACAAAAAAAGCATAGCGACTTTGAAACTCCTTTAAGTGTATTACTAAATGATACTGATAATAATCATATAAAATTTGTAAGAGATTCTTCTATACTTGATGATAATGATACATGTAAAACAATTTTAGAAAATTCATCAAATGTAAAATTGATAATTTTTAATACAGAATATGTATTAAGACAAAATATACCTTTTATTACTAAAATAGAACTACCATCAAGTATTTTAGTTGATTTTCCTGTTTACCCTTCCAAATTTGAAGGAAAAAATGTAAATAAATTAAAATCAACTTTTACGTGGTACAAAAATGAAGGAAAAGAATGGATACAAGTAGGACAGGATTTTTTGTATGTTCCATGCATGTCTGACATAGGAAGTAAATTAAAAATATCGTGTGTACCCAGAAATGATACTGAATGTGGACCCATAATAGAAATTACATCAAATAATGCTGTACAAAATGGGCCTGTTTCATGTCCTTTTGAAACTAGACATGCATTTACTAAATATAAACTATCCGGTAAAAGGTAAGTAATAAATAAAAATATAACTTTTAATTTAAATTGTTTATTTTAAATAGTTGATGTATTATCACATTATTATGAAATTAAAATGTTAGTTTCAGAGTAACTTCATATAATATATTGGCAAATATATATTCAGAAACTCAATTGTCTCAAGAAACACTCTATCCATATTGTCCATTATATGCTTTATCAATGGATTATAGAAAATTACTAATTTTGAAAGAATTAATGGGTATTTTATTTTTTAAATTAATATTTCATATTTACTTAAAAAATGAGAAAGATAAAAAAGATGATATTGAATTGAATTTCTATAGGATACAAAAGTGACATAATATGCCTTCAAGAAGTAGATAATTCAGTTTATAAAAATGATTTGCAACTGGCTTTACGTGTGCTACATTATGATAGCATATATAATTTAAAGAATGATTTACGGGAAGGGCTCGCAATATTTTATAATCAAGACAGATTTGATAAATTGTACTCTGATTACAGTGTTATTTCTCAAGGTGTAAGCCTTGATGATTTTAATATTATTTTGTCAAAAATTGAGAACAACAATGCAAAACAAACATTTGGAAACAGAAATACTATCATTCAGGTTCTAGAATACAATTGCATTTTAATATTAAATAATATTTTCTAATAATTAATTATAATATAACACATTACAGATACTAATACTTAGGTCTAAAGAAAATCCTGAAATCTTAGTTATTGGTAATACACATTTGTATTTCCTGCCAATAGCTGATCACGTACGTCTATTACAAGCATATTATGGTTTATTATATTTACGGACATATGCAAAGAGAGTTAAAAATGAGGTAGGAACAATAAATTATTTGAAGATTAATATAAACTTAACATAACAAATGAACTATAAAAACTTACAGAACCCGGAATGCAACGTTAGTATTTTATATTGTGGTGACTTCAATAGTACACCAGATAAAGGAATTTATCAATTGATGACCCAAAATTACATAACAAAAGACCACAGTGATTGGAGAGCAGGTCAATTTCATTTTATCTTATGATGTGATCATTTTTATCTTTTATAATTTTTATAAAAATTTATGAAACTGATTGATAAAATGTTTTTACACTTTATTATAGATCCTACAGAAATGGTACAGGATGTAGTTCTTACACATGACTTGAATTTATCTAGTGCATGTGGCATACCAGAGTACACTAATTTCACAGCTACCTTTAGTGGTTGTTTAGATTATATATTTTATCAAACAGATTATTTGGCAGTTGAACAAGTAATACCAATACCAAGTAAAGAAACACTTAAAACATATACAGGTCTTCCATCCATAGTATTTCCAAGTGATCATCTATCATTGTGTGTCGATTTAAAATGGTTAAAATAAAAATATGTACTACTAATTTAACATTTCTTTATTTATTTTAAAAATCTACTATATTACTTTTTGTAATTATTTCTTTTTTAAGGGGTTCAATCTGATCATATATGATTCAAAGTACAAAAATATGCCATGTTCAATTATTATTAATTTATTAAATAATAATTTCAACTTTGTAGAATTTTTATAAAACGTACACAATAAAATTACTTTTCAGTGTTTTTCAAAATAGCTTTTGTAATCTAAGTTAGATACATACAGCGAATAGTTAAAAAATAATCTTTGTATTCTATTCTAAAATGAGAAATGAAACTCTTATGTATGCTACAGTCCACTTAAATTATCACGTGTATAAACGAACAAATATCGAAGAAATATTGTTTGCGCATTTACATTTGTATTCTAGAAGAGGATCTCACATCCATATGGTATTATCACATTAATTTTTAATTTATAATTACCGAAGTTTACATTCACATTTCAATAATATGAAGTTAGTATTATTACATATATGAATGAACAGTGATAATTTACAAAATTTTGTACATAGATTATCATAATAAATTATCTTTTTTAATTAACTGAGGTCTGCAAGAATAAAAAAACTTTATCATTTATCTAATTGCATACAGCAATTATGATCACCCTTTAAAAAACACCCTTTTAAATTTTGTATATACGAAGTTTTAAAAATGTTCCGTTAATTTTCACGACGCTAAGTGTCTATGCGTAAATAGAATTGAAGTGATTTTTAAACATTATTTGTACTCATTGCCTTAAATTGCAAAATACTTAAGAAAATATTAATTACTACTCCACGATGAATATCTCTCGAAACGGATCTGTTCTTTTTTTAAGTTTTGCGATGTTAAAAACTCGCTATCTATTAAATTATCCTATGATTAAAAGGCCATTAATATTTGTATCGTTAAATAAATATATGAATAACTACTACATAAATTAGTGCCTTAAAATATTAGTTCCATAATATCTTTATTCCTTCAAAGATAATGAGAACCATATTCATCGTCATACTGTTACTTTTAGTAAAATAAATTTATTGAATACATTTATTGCCTACAGACCCCCTTTTGACTAAAAAAAAAAAAAATGGCTTATTTACTCCGTTAATAGACACATCTATCTTTTATAGATAAAGAATCTCGACTGTGCACTTCTTAATGATCACAATGTTTTAACGAAAGTTCTATAATATATCTTTCTTATATGTATATATTACTATCTTCAACACATGTTTGCATAGGAATTACAACTATTAACCTTGCTACTTTGTTCACGATTAACTTAAAATTTATTTTTACTTTAACAGGTTAAGCATCGAAAATTGTTCAATTTTATAACTATTACAGATAATAGTAAAGAGTTAAGTAGACATTTGCTATATCTAACAAATAAGGCAACAAAATTTTTCGGTATCTTATTACGCTGAAACTGTTAAAGTATAATTTGGTACGTGGATACACGTATATACTCATAAATCATTGTACTATATTAATAAATAAGTATTCGAAGGATAATTTAGTTTTCATTTTCTAGTAAGCATCTAAAAATGTGTTGTGAATGATTTTTCAATATTATTGTATATTAATTAATGAAGATCAATAATACCGAATGAGAGCCTCTTACAAAACAAGAAAGTAATTGTCTTTATGAATGTATGAAAAGTTTCACGCAGATATTCTGTGATCGATAATTATACCTGTACAACTTGAAATGACTTAAATGATTCCATTATAGTAACAAAAATTTTCTTTTAGTATCAGTAAGAAAATGTAATACTATAAGAATTTACACATTTGTAATTGGCATTTGCACTGTTTAAGATCACATCCCTCTTCGTGGAGCGCTTGGAACCAGTAGTTGTAAAGCAGTCATCGCGTCCGGGAATAACGAATGATAATTTACAACTGGCACATAAGCGGCAGTAATTACTCGGCCAGCAAACCATCTACCATGTAACGAATTAACAGCCGCAACTGCTGTTGCTATTGATGGACATTTAACGTAAACGTTACCCTGAGGAGATGCTTGGTCCACATATACATGTAACACACCACCATGTTTGTTGCATTCTTCAATGACATCATCACGAATTTCTTTCGCCCAATTTGGATTCGTTTCACTAAAATAAATTATTGAATTACTTAATTTTTAGATAATTATTAAAGAAAATGTAGTTGTTAAATATAGTGTTATGTCATCATTTCTAGACATACATATAACGATATGTACGAGAGCATTTTAAGATAACATGATTTGTTTAGCATATTCATTCCCCCAGTGAAAGAGGAAGAACTAACACTAGGTCTACAGATATGCTTTTTATGTTAAGAAAAGTACAATAACTTACTTCTGCGGGTCGAACATATTCGATAACATAAAACACTGCGTCGCTATAGGAGGAGCAGCTTGTGGAGGTGGTTGTGGCGTTGACATAACTGGAGCCATGTTTAGTGCATTTGCAGCTGCAGGGGGGATTTCAAGCCCAGTTCCTTCTGCTAACTTAAACATTAGCTGTAACCTAAAGATTTTCAATAATAATTATAAATAATTGATTAAAGTGTAAAAATTATCTGTTGTAATTTTTATACCTTCCAGTAGCACCAAGATCGATACCACTTCGATCTAATTCATCTGTGTCAAGAAGAGATGGACCTTGTATTAGATCTGTACGTTCTGTAACATTACCAACTTTCATGGGTCTACCAGCAAGTTCAAAGCCATTCAACTGTTCCAAAGCTTTCTTTGCGTCATCAGCATTTCTAAACTACAATAAAATAAATATACATATTTTAAAGAAAGTAATAAAATATTCATAATTAAATAATTTATAGTATTTTTTAATACATACAGTCAAGAATCCATAGCCTTTGCTACGACCAGTTTCTGGATCCATAATTAATTGAATGTTATCGATTTTTCCAAAAGGTTCGAAAATACCGCGAAGCATATCTTCTGTGATATTGAAATGAAGAGATCCAACATATAACCTCATAGGTCCAGTCTGACCTTTTGGCATTAAATTTGGCATGGAATTACCCATGCGATTTTTTTCAGCTTGAGTGTGTTGTACTACTATAGGAACACCAAGAAGTTTCTGACCTGATAAACCAAGCGCCTATAAAAAAAAAAGGATGAAAATAATGCAGTTATCAACAATAAATTAAATATTAAATATAGATTATATATTGACTTACAAGTGTGACACTTTCAGGATCTTTGAACTCTACATATGCTATACCCTTGAATCGTCTTGTTTTGTTACACGTGATAAGTCGAACATCTTGAACTTTCCCAACACTAGAGAAGAATTCTTCCAGATCTCGAGCACGTATGCGCTGACTTAATTGCATACAGAACACCGTTCGGGCATCCCGTTCCTCCGGTGTTAGCTCATCATTTCTGCTGAAATAAATATAATATACAAAAATTAAAGACATTGATATTTTAACACGTTATACAAAGATATATACAAAACGACGCAAAAGTAATAGAATTCTAAGTTTCCATGCTTAAAAATTAAAATTTTTTTAATACATCAACCTTGAGTCATCCTGAACTTTTTAAAATGAAAGTTTCAAATAATGAATACATGCAGACTTACATGCCAAGAGGACTGACTCCTTTCCCAAACGGCAGTCTTGCTCTGGGTAGTGTAATTGGTGTGAGCGATCGTTTCCTCCTTCTATCTCGATCTCGATCTCTGTCCCGTCGATCCCTATCTCTATCGTTATTATCTCTGTCTCTATCACGATCTCTTCGATCTCTTGATCTTGATCTACGTCGACGATCACGATCACGATCACGATCTCTGTCTCTATCACGATCTCTGTCTCTGTCTCTGTCGCGGTCGCGACGATCTTTCTCTCGACGGTCTCGTGACCGAGAACGAGAACGAGAACGATGTTTGCTCTTTCTGTAAAGAAAGGAAATAATGATGTAATTCATAAAATTTTTAGAATAAAATTTATATGACTGTAATTCGTACTAATAAATATATATATTTATATATTACATTTATATTATATAAATATATATACTTATGTATTTGAGCAAACAATAAATTTTGACCATTTTAAATTTAATTTTTAGAATGGTTTTTTAAGCTATAGTATTTCAACTTATTAATCCGAACCCTTAGTGATAAGAAAATTTCTTTAAAATGTTTCTATCGTTTCATATTTTTCATATGATTTTATTAATAAAAATAATCAAACAAGTCAATACAGCTAATATCAATCATTTTCTATTAAACTGCATAATTAAAGATACACATGTAGTAAAAATAACTTAATCAATATAGTATAGAAACAGCTAACATCTGTACAAGTGTTACTATTTCACTTTTTTTCTCTATTTAGTTATCTTTTATTACATTTCAGATTTTTAACAGAATCTGTAGTACAGATATTCTTCCTAAACACTTACCATCTTCAGGTCTAACCTTTGGAATTATGAAAATAACCAGCATTTACACTAATTGTATGGGGTCTATAACAAAGAGAATATAACTTCAAACAGCTGTATGTATATAGCAAATGGCTAATTTGAAAAATTCACAAACAATTGTATGTGTATTTTAATCAATAAAGCTAAAGGTTCAGACAAAGTAGTTTATTTATGGACACACATGTTTTATTGTATTATAAATCATGTTACATAAGAGGATTGGAATAAAATTTAACTCTAACATAAATAAATTATTTAATATAATTACTTAATTATTTAATTATTAATTTCTTTTACCATCTAGGACAAGAGCTTTTAAAAGAATCCAATCCACTTACTTTCTTTAGAAGATATAATTTTCTTAGAAGATATAATTTTTGTTTAAACTTGCCTACTTTTTATTACTGCATGAAATTTCTATTACGATAGCATTATGTAAAAAAGTCAATAATAATTTAGCAGAAAATAAAATAATTAAAATATCATTTATTTATTTTGTGCTCCCTACTACTTTCCATCCGGATTACAGTACTTTCTAGATAAGCAATCATGGAACGAATGCATTCGTTATCAGTTAACCCAGTTACAGTATCATTTTGCGTGAAATTTCGAACGACGAAGGCGATCATATTACATCTATATCTAGAGAAACAAGCTAAAGCGTTACATGCGGGATTAACAAAACTAAATAATAATAGACCAATAAGATATGTTCAACAACATCATAAATTGTTATTTTCGTTTATCACTGTTCACTTATGTAAGATTTAAGTACCCTTTACCACTATTTACGTTATTGGCAAGAAAACGTAATGAAAATAATTTCTTTATCTAGAAATTACTGTAATTTTATAAACATTAAAATTGCTCTAACCATTAAATATCAAATCTGGTAGTGAGCACAAATTATTATGTAAATTAATTACGATATACGAAATATACTTACCCAGATGATTTACGGCTAGACCCATTCTCCTTGGAAGATTTGTCTTTGGATGAGGAGTCCTGCTCCTACGAACAGCAAACAGTTGAATGCCATGCCAGCCAGCCGATGTGGCAGGGACGCGCGAACAAGGGGACAAAAAGCAAATCATAGAACGTTAGTAAATTTTATAAAGATAAACTGTGTACATATTGTACAATTTAAATTTTGACAGTAGTTTAAAAATAAAATATATCAATAATGAAATTCTGTTTTCTGTTAATCTTTTCTTTTTTCTTTTTCTTTTTTTATAACCATGTAGACAACTCTCCTTTGTACACTGTTATCGAAGATCTATTTGCTGCTGGACGGTGGTGCACTCTCGTGCTCTTTCTCTTTTTCCAGGTAGATTATATCGGTCTGAGGGGGCTGAGATGAGGACACAGAGAAGAAAGAGAGAGAGACAGACAGAGAGAAAGAGAGAGAGAGAGAGAGAGAGAGAGAGAGAAAGAGACGGGGCGAGCATAGTGTTGCGACGCCTCGCATACACCTGGCTCAAACTTACCAATCGTTTTATCGGGTTTTAGGAAAGCATTGCAATCTTGGGTTGAGCATGCCTTGGTCTTAAACTACCAATGGCCAACCACACATCCTTTTTCTTCTGCAAAAGAGAGCCCTCATCAAAGACAGTACGTTTTTAATGTAACACGAGATGTGAACCCTAATTGCTAACCTACAGCCCCTGCATGTATAACTGATTTAACTATCTCGTAATAGGAACAAAACGATCAACGATCATTCGCAGCTTCCAGTAGATATATCACAAGATGATTTAGCCATATAGAGAAAATGTTTCACATGATTAAAAGCGAACATACACATGGTATATGGCATTAATGCAATGAAATGATGGCAATGGTGTTACACATATATGTTACTAATGTTATTTTTTTCAAACTATCATTGATTCTTAAGACAATTAACAATCTTCAGTAATTTTGACTGCAATATCAAAACATTTTCTCATTTGTATCACATAATTTATTTCCTGCTTGCCAATTTACCATGCATTTTGTTTGTGAAGTACCATACTGATGTACTTTCAAATTTAAGATGAGGCAATGTTGTGTTGATGAAAAATTATAAGCATTACAATGAATGAGAACACCATAAGCATCTTAGTGAATTATTGTTAATTTTAATCACATAATTAGAAATAAGTCTACTATATGATTAAAAAAGTAGACTTCATAATATGCGTTTTTAGATGTTATTAAAAACATATTTTATATACTGAAGAGATATTCAGTAATCTGAAGTTGCTAAATAAATTGCTAATAAATTAAATTTGATTATTACACTTGTCCTTATTTGGAAAGAATGTAATATTTTCAATAAGAAATATATTGTGGATCTTATGTTATATACATATCTTCTCTAGTTTAATTTCACAAATACTTATAATAATTAAAATACAATTCTTCATTAATACCACTGTCCTCCTAATTTTATTGATCTTAGATAATTACATCAATGTATAATTCCCTTAAAAAGAAGAATTAATATATGATTATAAGAAAGATGAATAAATAAGATTCCTATGAATTAAAAGAAAACAAAGGCAATATGGGAGTGCTTAATATTCTAAAATCTGATGAATACCTTTACTGGTCCACCTAACAATAAAACATTAACAATGCAAAAGATACCTAGTAGGAATCAGTAGAAATTATGCTCCTCTACTGCAAAAAATACCATAGACAATGTGTTTATTGATTCTATATACAAAAGGCTTTTGATGCTTATACAAACCAGTTGATTTATTTTTTCACACATATACATGTCATGAAAATCAATATAATAGCATGGCACATGGCAGAACAGCACCTAACAAATCCATCTTTTCAACTGTTATATTTTTTCTTGTCTTTTTAAATAAATTAATAGAAAGAATGTTCATTTTGCATGTGTATTTTTTGTCTCTTTATAATCGTAAAATGGTGGCAGTAGCAATTCTATCTACGTCGTAAATAATAAACGTTACGATTTCTGAGAAAAAAATTAGAAAAAAAAATCAGAAATAAATAAAGAAAAAAGAATTAAGTAAAAATGATGTTAGTGATGGCTTTTCTTAATACCTCGTATTTCAAGTGCATTCTAGGAACTCGCTGCCGAACATCCTACGAGCGCGAGGGTACATGTTACGTACCATCTATAAGTACAGAAAACGGAGGTATTGATCAATAGTTGGTATGAGACAAGGGCGTACTTTGTTCTACATGTATTTACAGGAAGGAAAGGACGATTCATTTTTTCTCGAACGCAACACGACAGAACATACCCAGAACGGTACGCACCGTATTGAATTCTTGCGCGTTGAGATTAGGTTGACTTTATAGGATAAAATAAATCAGGATCTCGAAGGAACAAACCGAGACACACAGAAAAAGAAAAAAAAATTAAGTCTTACCCCCTTCTTATATGGCGCCTCCAGCATTGCCTCGACATCCAAATCCTCCGCCATTGCGCGAGTCGGTGAGCTTTCTGAAATACCACGCATTAGCACTCGATAATCCAAAATACGGTGGTCGGAATGAAAACTCTATGAGGATATTGTATAACGTACAGACTAACGAACGCTCGTACACGATTCAAACGTTTAACAGTTACTGAAAACGTAAGATCAATAACGAACGTGAGAGAACAAGAACGCAATCATGACGACGACCAAAAGAAAATGGAAGACCGGATGTGAATATACGAACTAAGCGCCACCCTTACGGAAATGTTGAACGTAATACTGTCTCGATCTAATTCCAGATTTTCGATACAATTTTTTAAAATATCCCTAGATACAGGTATTTTAATATTTTCTTGATAATTTTCATATTCCTTATTTATTATGTGTATATAAACGTATTATTAAAATCTTTTCAAATAACATTATTTTTCAAGAATACAAATTTATGAATATTAAGATAAATAAATGAAGTATGACAGTTTAGTAATTTGAAAAATGTATGTATGACAAACCATTTTAGTGTATATATTTATCGAAAATAATTATGAAAAGTATATTTTAGTTATCAACGTGAAATAAACATTTATACCACTATATAGATATATAAAACTATACGTAAAGTTTAAAACTAGTTTTTAAAATTTACACTTTTCAATTATCAATAAAAAAGCTGTTTCGAATATTAGTTACGTCATTTTGTAATATTAAATAATTTAATAACGTTTTTTTTTGGTGACTAATAAGAAATTCTTTTTCCTACAGAATTAAATAACTAAAATTTGAGCGAACTCTGTTGGAGAAATTTGGAAGCATGTACTTGATTTTAGAGTACATTTCCCCAGAATCAGATTCAACTTTGTTCTAGCACACATGCATGACGTAACAGTTTGGCGCAGTTTGCCTAGTAGCCATTTTGTTTTCAATCGCACGGCTGATTAAGGTATTTTATATAAAGATATTTCGTGTTATTATAAACTATTTAGGCAACTAATATAATCGACGATATATTTAAGAAAGTCTTAAAGAAACTTTAATTTATAATTACGTATGTTTTTAAGAAAACTGATATATACACTAATTGAAAATCTTATTTAGTTTTGGGTAAGGGTTTTCTCTCAAATTTCATATTCTTTTATCTCTCTCTCTCTCTTTCTTTCTGTTTGCCTATCTCTCTCTCCCTCCCTCCTATTCACTTTTGCTTTTCTTAGTTAATTATCTTGCTAAAAGTTATAAAAAAGTATATAGTATAATATGTCGGAGAATAATAAAACTATTCTTCGTTTTGTCAATTTCTTTTTTTGCAGTATCAAAACAAAAATCCATATCATACATATTTTATTGTAATTTAATGTGACTAAATTTTTAACAACTTTTTAATTAATATCGAAATTACGTTTTACATTAATTTCTAAGATATCATATATTAATTCATATATTTTTTTCTTGTAAGTGAATATAATTGTTATATCCTTGTCCTATTATCAATTGATTTAAATTGATTATCTTAAGTAATATAAATCACAATGTTGTTAAAAATATTATAAGTATTTTTACTATATAGTAAAATACAAGAATTGTAGAATTATATAACAACAGGAAACTGTTTTATGAAAATATAATATTTATTAGAAATTAGTACTTGTAATAAAATATTGAGATATGTGTTAATAAGGGCTTAATCAAAGCTGGATTTCGTAATATATATCAAATAGACTAATAAGCAATTGACTGAATTTCTTATATATAGAAATTGCCCAAGTTAAATCCTAGCTTTGATTGAACTCTTTTTATGTTAATGGCAATTAAAATACATTTTGATCTCTCGCTATAAATCCGCTTGTCTCTTGCAAACGCGTACATTTAAAACCAATCAGATAAAGGCGTGGTAAGGAAAAATGAGCTGTGTACTCATAGAAGGCAGTTTCTATCCTTATAGGTGTCCATCTGTCCATTCAGCCTGGCGTGAGAGGCACACAAGCGCAACAATGGATTCAAAGCGGCATGAACGCAGTTCCAAGTCCAATACAGATTCACCACCAGCTCCGCCTTCGCCTCCTATGTACAGTGCAAGTTATACAACATATGATGGGTACAAAAACAGAATGTCGTCGCGCCGATCACCTTCACCTTCGGAGTATAGAAGCAGTAGAACTTCCCGTAATGATTCACCACAGGACAGACGTAGAAGAAGACGCAGTATTTCAAAATCTCCACCAAGTAGATCGCATAAACGATCTCGATCTCCGGATAGAGATAAAGAGAGAGACAGAGATAGAGATCGATCACGGAAGTATTCTAGAAGAGACAGATCAAGATCTAGATCAAGAGGAAGGTCACGTTCCAGAGATAGAAGACGTAGTCGTAGTCGTAATAGAAGTAAAGATAGACATAGAGGTCGAGAAAGCCGCAGATATCATAGAGCACCATCGTATGAATCAGATACTGCTGAAGATAACACAGAAACAACTGTATCACATCCAGTTGTTCCTCCACAATCTAATGCCTTTAAGAATGATGGAAGCTTTATGGAAATGTTTAAGAAAATGCAAGAACAAATGCAACCTGCACAAAAACCGACGACTTCTGTTTTAGAAGAGAAAACTGTTGTTCCTCCACCTTTAATGGTAGGAAAGAGGCGAGGAGGTAGAATTTTAAAAACTGGTATGGTTGCTAAACCAAAGACTGAACAAACTGTTGAACAACCTAAGGATGCTTGGTCACTCTACATGGCTGAAGTGAAAAAATACAGAGAAGTTTGTTGTCAGGAAGAAGACAATACAAGACCATTGGTTAAATAGCTGATTTTAGTTTTTACTATTTTCCATTTTGTTACTTCATTTTATCTACAATGAATGTGCTTTCAAAAGATGCTGTGTTCTTTTAATTACAATATGATTGCATTTAAGTATAGAAGAACAGCTATTAACCAAGTTTAAAAAGACCTCCACTTATACTAAAATTAATTAAAGTTCAAGAAAGCTTTGAAGTAAAGCTTTTCCTTATCTAACAAAAAGAAAAAAAACTGTAGAAATGTATGCAAATTTAAGAAAATTCTTTTTTTGAAGTACTAGATAGAATGTACAGTATATGTTAATCAGAAATTATAAATATATAGAATCAAATTATTAAATATTTCAACTTAAAGAGCATTATTAATGTAATACAAGAATGAAAATGAAAACTACAATGAGGAAGCAATTGTTTGTGATAGTGTATTAAGTGATGCAAGAGACAAACGGACTAAAGCGAGAGACAAACATGTAAAGAGTTTGCCTTGTGGGAAAAAGGGAGGGTGACAGTTTGTAGCACTTTTAATAAATATAATAGATTAAGTAACTTCTAACTTGTTAAGCAGCAACAGTATGGTTAAGTATTCAGGCTTTGGTTCTGAGACAACAATAGATCCTCCCAGCGATTTGAAACCACAGACAGCACCATATGACCCAAGATTCCCAAATCAAAATCAGACAAGGTAAACAGAAAACAAATTAGTATTATAATTTAATACCTGTTAAGTATTGGTGTGAAATTATTTATTTCTGTTTATCTCAAATACAGATATTGTTATGTGAGTTTTGTGGATTTTCAACGTTGCAAAAAGCAGCATGGTGAAGAACACGATGCATGTCAATATTTTAAAAAAGTCTACACTGCAATATGCCCAATTGTTTGGGTAGAAAGGTGGACTGAACAAATAGCAGAAGGAACGTTCCCAAAAACTATATAATATATCAGAGGCATCATAACTGCCCCTCTAGCCGTACTATCTACATGATAACAGGAGTTTGCAACCTTATCTTCCTGTTTGTAATAGATATATACAGTAATGATAAATAAATTAATGATAGCTTAATTTCTACTCACTTTTGTTAATCAATATTGTTTTGATTTTACCTTAATTGTTACATATAAATAAAAGTTATAAGAAATTTCTCTTATTAAAAATTATGTTCCTGATGCTCGTGAAATTTCATATTAACCTCAAATCTGAAATTCTTATACCTTTTTTTGTATATATAATTTTCATTACATAAAATAATGTAAAAGCAAAAGTATTGCATAAGTTATTAAATATTTCATTAAATGTCATATGTTAAAGAATTTAGTAGTTTATAATAAAAATGAGCGAAATGGTTAAATTAATTTATCACAAACACAGTTCGCGCACAAAAATAAATATAATAAGATGTTTGATATTTATTTATATTAACAATTAAATTATTTTTTAATACTTTTTACATAACTCATAAAATAATTATATACGAACTTTACTTAATCATGACTAAAGTGCATGACAATGTCGCGCGTCGATATTTTATTCTAAAGAAGCATTTGTCATATATCTATAAACCTAAATTAGAGTCTAAATTATATATAAACCTAAATTTAAGTTAAAGCAATGAATACTTCGGTAAACAAGAGAATATTCATATTTATAACTATGGCTAATAGTCCCATAGTGTAACAATTTATATCCATAGAACCACAAAATAGAGGATTCCTAATTACGTTACGCAGATATTTAGTTTTAACTATTAAGAGATTTGATGGGATGATTCTTCTTTCTTATTCTATTTTTTAATAAAACATTGTGTAGGAATAGGCAAAGCCCCTTTTATTCACAAATAAGGTTTATGCTCTTATATTAAAATTTGTTGACATTGATCAGAATTTTTACACTATGCTATAAAATATAAATGAGACATAATTGCGTATATACAAACGTTATATTTTATTTTTAAAAGCTTAATGTTTTAAAAACTCATAAGATATAGGAACTTGATTCAAAAATTAATATTAAGTAAACGGATTAAAATTTATAAAAAATGAGAAAGTGAGTACGTTAAATAATATTAGATTTCAGAAAAGATTTTCTTACTGACATACTAATTCAAATGTTTCATAAAATATTTGTATAATTTTGAACTAATTAAATTCATTATTTGAGTTTATATATGCTAGATAATAAAAATTATTGATGATTTATTCGAAACTATTAGAACGTATTGCCATAACAGAATGCCGTAAGTTATTCATACCGCGGTGAGAATCTTCTTTGGTTACAGGTTTTCCTCTAGAAAGGTTGTAATCCTGTGTTAGCTCTTCAAGAATTAGTTTTATAGAAAGGTATTAAAAATATTACGAATTTTTAAAAAATAAATTATATTATTCAATTTACCGTACCTTAAATTTATTTTATATTATGAAATGGTTGTGTAAAAATAATTCATAAAATTACGACGATTGTGTTATTAAAATATTTTTATACCTACAGCTATCTCTGCATAATGGATTATCAACAAAATCACGAAAGATTATATTCAAGGTATAATGATAGAAGAAATAATTATAAAAGTAATTCTTTTCAAAAAAAGGATCAGCATTCAAATTCTGTTTATAACAATTTGGATAACAAATTTGAAAAGTTTATAATACAAATTGATACTGAGAAAGTTGGAAAATTAATTGGTAGAAGTGGAAGTAATATTAGAGAACTACAGGATAAAACAAATACTAAAATTCATGTAAGAATTAACTAAATACTATTTGCTTTTTCTTATTTTTATAAAATATTTTTATAAAATGATTATTTAATATAATTTTTATAAATTATAATATTTAATTGATATTTATCGTAAACATAAGTTAATTAAAATATCTAATATATGACATTATAATGCATAATATTTTATATTGATGCTTTTATGTAGATTTTTGTATCTTGAATGTTAAGAATTATATGTATTAGTTATATTTTACCAAAAATATATAATTATTTCTTTATATTAATATTTAATATACATATCATCTTCAATACTTAGAAAATAAAATCTTTATGTGATAATCTTTTTATTCAAAAATTTGTATTTAAAATTTGTTGCATGTATAAAACCTTAAAGGAACAAATTCATTACATAATAATAATTTAACTATCATAGGTTGATAGATCAACTGGAAATGATACTACATCTGTGAGTATAATTGGAACCAAAGAAGCACAACAACAAGCTAAGAATTTGATAGAAGAATCTTTAAAAGATTTTCCATACACAAGACAAAAATTAGAAAATGAGGAAAAAGAGCAAAATGATAAAACACAAATTGATTTTACCAATTTTGATTGGACTTTAGCTAGCAAAAGATGTGTAAGTTCTTTTCATAAGAATATATAAATATAGCTGTGTAAGATAAAGTTAACATATTTATTTATTTCTAAATTGTTCTTTTGATTAGGATGAATTTCAAAAAGAAAAGTGGGCAAAATGTACTTCTATTATTAAAAATTTTTACAAAGAGCATCCAGCAGTTACTAACATGACAGTGGAGCAAGTAGCTCATATCCGGAAAATAAACAATAATATAGAAGTAAAATATATGTTTGATGACCAAGAAAAAGATTCTGAGCAATTAAAAATACCTAATCCTGTTGAGACATTTGAACAAGCTTTTGAAGTAAATAGAAATATTTAAATAAATATTTCTGAAAGAAAGGTACACTACTTAAATATAAATGTTATAGGATTATCCTGAAATACTTGAAGAAATTAGAAATCAAAAATTCACCAAGCCAAGTCCAATACAATGTCAAGCTTGGCCTATTCTTCTTAGTGGCAAAGACCTTATTGGAATTGCACAAACTGGAACAGGTATATTATAATGTTATTACATATAATCTATAAATTGCACATTATTTTGTTGATATGTTTAGGAAAAACATTGGCATTTTTACTGCCTTCTTTGATTCATATTGAGGGTCAACAAATACCAAGATCACAGCGGACTGGACCTAATGTTCTTATTATGGCTCCTACCAGAGAACTGGCATTACAGATTGAAAAAGAAGTAAACAAATATTCTTATCGTGATATAAAAGCGTAAGTAAAATTCACATATTTTTTATTTTGAAAGCTGTAATCTGTAAGTAATACACTATTAAAGGGTATGTGTCTATGGAGGTGGAAGTCGTAAAAAACAAGTTAATGTGGTAACAAAAGGTGTGGAGATAGTTATTGCAACACCTGGTAGGCTGAATGACCTTGTAGAAGCAAATATTTTAAATATTTCCTCAGTCACGTATCTCGTCTTAGACGAAGCAGATCGTATGCTTGATATGGGATTTGAGCCACAAATTAGAAAAACTTTGTTAGATATAAGGCCAGATAGACAAACAGTTATGACAAGGTACATACAACTTTTCTTTTATTGAAAATATTGAATTATATATAGTGAAAAGACAACATGAATATGTTTGTATTTTAGTGCTACATGGCCTCAAGGTGTTAGGCGTTTAGCTCAATCATATATGAAAAATCCAATACAAGTTTTTGTTGGATCCCTTGATTTAGCTACTGTACACACAGTAATACAGAAAGTTTATATTATTGATGAAGAAGACAAGACAGATATGGTTACTACAGTTATAAAAAATTTGAATTGTGTTTTGAGAGAAATATATGCAGTATTAACTATTTATGTTTTAACAGATGTATCGTTTCTTTCGTGACATGGTTTCTACTGATAAAGTAATAGTATTTTTTGGAAAGAAGACTAAGGTTGATGATGTATCGAGTGATTTAGCTTTACAGAACGTTAATTGCCAAAGCATACATGGAGGAAGAGAACAATCTGATAGAGAACAAGCGTTAGAAGATTTAAAAACCGGCGAAGTTCAAATATTATTAGCAACCGATGTTGCCAGTCGAGGCATCGATATTGAAGATGTTACGTATGTCTACTTTATATATATTAAAATTTCATCTAAATTCTAAATGTATTTACAAAAAGTTTTTTAGGCATGTATTAAATTATGATTTCCCACGAGATATAGAAGAATATGTTCATCGTGTTGGTCGCACCGGCCGTGCAGGACGCACAGGTGAAAGTATTACTTTTATGACGAGAAAAGACTGGTCTCATGCAAAAGAATTAATTAATATTTTGGAAGAAGCTAATCAAGTGTGTTATAATATACGTATATACTTATATATTTATATGAAAACTTTTATAGACATTTTATAGACATAAAATTGTATATTCATAGGAAGTACTTGAAGAATTATACCAGATGGCCAATAGGTATGAGGTATGGAAAGAAAAACGAGCAAGTGAGAAGCATTTTGAACGTTTAGACAGAGGTGATCGTTCATACAGAAGAAGTAATAAAAAATGGTAGTTCCTGATATTAATTATTACATTTACATATTTGTACGTATGTTCCTAACATTTTTAGGTTAGTTAAGTTCATCTTTATTACAAAAATTATTTTGCATATAATTTCTTTTTTTTTCCTTTAAAATGAATGTATTAAGCTAATAGTTATTATTTTAAAAATAATTTTCAAAATATTTTATAAGAGACGATACTTCGTCAATCATTTATATCTTTAGTATAAAAGGAATAAAAATATCAAAAAAATTTATATAGCATATATACATAATGCTATTTTTTAATATTTTCCCATTACAATTATTTAACATAAAAAATGTTTAATTTAAAACAAAAAATTGCTTATACAAATCCGTACGAAAATACGAAACATTATTAAACAATTTATAAACAAATTTTTCTTGTTTATACTTACATTACCAAAGTATATAAATGTCTTCATATTTAATTCATATTCATTCAAATATAAAAATTATTATCTGTCTGACAATACTTATTTATAAATATTTAAATTTGTACAGTAATAAAATATCAAGCAATTTAAACACCCTAAAATATATTCCTATGGGAGTAATAGCAATACTAAAATCTTTTAAAATGTTTATACTTTGTTGAAAAGTAATAAACTATAAAATGCAATTTACATCATATACAAAATTCAAAAGCAAACTTGGCAAAAATTTTGTAATTATTCAATGAACTAAAAATAATTGAAACAATAAAAAAATAAATAAATCCTCTGCAAATATAAAACGTATTGATATAAGTTGTGTGACAATGTTATTTCACATAAATTTATAACAAATGAACAATACTATCACCATAAATTTTAATATATTTTTTTTTATAAACTGACATCAAATTTTAACTGTAAACTTTGAAATTCCGTGTTTTCGTGTATTTCTCGGCAAATATTTTACCACTTGGAGTTGGAATTGAAAATGCTATGCCATCTACAGACATTATATAACCGAAATAAAATTGAGCTCTGAAATAGATAAAAAAAATTATTGATAATATTTTATTTAATATAATTATACGTAATAATGATAATAATAATATAGTAAATTATTTATTAATATAAATATTCACCTTAATACATCTACCAATTTAGTAGCTATGCCTTGTTTACGATGATTTAAATCTGTCCATACAACATTTATGCCGCACTTAGCAGGACTACTTTCTGCTGTACAGCAATCTAACTCTAATAATTCGGGTATCATACGGTGTGCAGTCGTTATATGTTCTGCAACTAACACTCCTATGATGGCTTTGTCTCTTATATATAAGTACACCTAAAAAATAAATTCTATTAAAACAAAATAATATTTATCAAACAAGAAAATTGCTTTTTTTTATTACTTTTTTCTGTTCATAATTTGATAATTTTGTATCAACTAATCCTAAATCTCTGTCTACATATGTTAAAACTTCTGTTACTTTTTTCCAACATAGTTTTGAGTCACCTGGTTCTACTAAAATTATTCGACTCGATGTAAATGGATCTTCCATAATTACACGTTCTGATTTCCATCCCTAAAAGTAAGTATTCTAGTTGTGAAATGTTCGATATATTGCATCTACGAGTTACGCGGTGGAGATTAGACATACGGGAAATTTTAAACTTTTTCTGTTATTGTGATAATTTAGATGAGCATTTTCGTCTTCTGGATCGCCTATTTGATATACGACACCACATTCAGTACATTGTGTTGCTCCAAAATTTGTTTGCCCTGCATCCAATTGGTATTGATTATCACTACCATTTAGTTTTATAGATAATTGCCAATTTATATTTTCTTTTGCATTATGTATTGATTTTTTACTAGTTTCACTAGAAAATCACAAAATTATGAGAAATAATTTAAAAAATAATTAAATATTTTAAATATTTTGCTTACTTAAACGTTTTATTGGAAGAGTAGCCCTTAATAAATAATGGATAATACTTTTGTTGTGTTGTATCTTCATAGTTGTCCAAAGGAATATTTTTAGGAAGTGTTGGTGTACTAATGTCCTTAATATTCATAATTGAAGTCATATTACTAAGTTCACTAGCTGGTGACATAGTAATATCATTCAATATTGCTACTGGCTTTAATGGTGAAATATGTTCAAGTCTTTCATTAGTTAGTACTTCCATAATGTCATAATCATCATCAGCCCAATCATCTTCCAAGGTTTTTAATATATTAGCCACTTTATCTTTTTCTATTGTGGCTTCCAATTCTGGTTCATCTACTGACAAATCAGTTGCATCAAAAGAGATATCAATAAGTTTTTGTCGTTTATGACCTTGCTTTCCATTTTTTTTATTTAATGCCATTTTACCATCTGATTCAACTTTTAATTTAACATTATTATTTATCGTTACTATAGCTGCAGAATTCCTCTTTGATGACTTTTTAATCTTAAAAAAGCGTTTATTAAAGTCAATTTCTGGTGATGGACTTTCCTCTACTTGTAATGTATTTAAAATTTCTGTTTCCTCCATTTTTACTTCTTTTGATAAATCTTCCTGTATATTTATAATATGTTGTGTATTATTCTTCTTTGTAGTATCTAAATTTGCTTTTGGTTTTTTAATACCATGAGATACACCAGCATTAATTCCTCCTATTTTATATCTTTTTGTAGATTTTCTATAATAAGGTAAATGCCCTGTAGAACTTCCTTGTTGTTTTTGCTCTGCTAATTCAGACATGATCTTATAGTTTCTTTTTATTTCAGAATTACTATAAAAATTCTTAGTACTTAATGTTATGTTTTTCAATTTTGATTCATAATTTTTATCTTGAAATAGAGCTGCTCTAGCTTTTGGCACTGAATGATTTTCATCTGTTTTTAGTAATTTTGTAGTTGTATTTCCTAACTCTTCAAGAGCATGTCTCTTTAACATATTCTCTTTTCTTTCAGGTGAATTTTCAATTATATCGAGTATATTAAGTGATTTGCGTCTATGTAATTTTGGTAACAAAATCATTTTGTTTTCAGAAGTCAATGGTGTTATTAATTTGTTTTCTGGACTACCAGATTTATGTGGAGTTTCTATGGTATTATTTAGTAACTCTTTGCCAAATTGTCTTTGTGGTATTGCTTCTTGCATATCTACTTCTGTTTGGTTTGGAGATTGTTTGTTTGAATTCTTCAATGGAGAATTTGACAGAGATTTTGGTGAATCTGGTAATATTTCTTTTTGTGAAGAATGTTTTACAGCTTGAATTGCTTTCTTTAAAGATACCTGAGTATGATCACTTGTTCTTCTCTTATATATACTTGATGAAATCTGATCCCAAGATGCATGCTTATTAAATGACAAAGACAATCTCTTAGGTATAGAATTTGGAGAAAGAAGAGGAAGTTTTGGAGAACTATTACAACTACTTGGGCTTTGATCGCTAAGTGCTAACGGTGACATGGGTCCCAAATCTGATTCTTCTCCGGATAAACTGCCTGTAATTCTTGAATCTCTTTGAATTTTGTAAATCTTCTTTTTCCTTGAACTTCCACCTGATCCAAACAAACATTTTTGAACTCTACGTGGAGTATACAATGATTCTCCTGATACATTATCCACAGACATGTTCTAATAACTTTTAGTAAGTATTCTAGAAATTAAAAAAAGAAAAAAATTAGATAAAATCATTAAAATTAAATATAGAATATTACTATCATGATTTAATTTTTACACTTTAATGTATTACATTCATTTGTCATAAAATAATAACAATAATATTGTTTTAATCCTAATATAAGGGTATATTAATTATAATCGTATAAATTATTAAAAAAAAAAATATATTTTTCAAACGGACTACAGTATAATCAGAATATTATGTTAGTATGAATTATTATTAATAGGAATAAGTAAAATAAATTTGTAGATATATATAGTAAATAGATAAACTAACCTAAATAAGCACAAATAAATCGTACGATATTAAAAATGTAAAGCTGTTTCTATTCTTGTTCGTTTTTATTAATTTTTTAAATACTTCGATGCATATCACGTTATACGTTTATTACCATATCAGATTTCTATATATTTATATAATAGTTACATATAATAATACAATTTTCTTCAAAAGAATTTAATTCACTCGCATAACAACCGACGATCCAAAACCGCTAAAAAGTTTCCGTTTCTTTACTGTGCTTTCGCGCTCTTTTATTCTCATCTGGAACTATATATAGGGTGATCGGAAACTTCAGTCAAAATTATGTCCCGATAGTATAAACATAAAAGGTACTAAATATGTCACAGCAAAATATGTGGCACCATTAAAGTTAAATTTCTTAAATTATGATAAAATTTTTCAATTAATACTTGATATATTTTAATGTATTAATAAAGAAGTTAAAAATATCCTTATAAAATTTAATATTGTAGGAGATTACTTCTGAAGTAGAGAATAAGTGATATTTTAGCATTATGTTTAAAAGAAACCAAATGAAAGTTTGGCATAATTGTTATCATGTATTTTATTTTTTATTATAATATAAATCAAAATGGTTAAAAATTTGAATAAATTGATGGTAATTCATTGATATCACATTCTTCAGAAATGTGTAAAATCTTTACTTAATATGAATAATAAAATAACGATATGCTATATCTACAACCTTATGTAACAAATATTATATATATGTTAGTTAAGTATTAAATATAATTACATAAAAATACCTTTGCTGACGCAAATAATGTAGAAAAGGTAAATAAAATAAAAAGTAAATGCTCTTTATTAAAATGAATAACAAATAATTAGAAATTTGTAATGCTGAAAATGTCTAATTCAAATGAGTGATGGCTAATTCGTGAAGTACGATGTCTCCAGATATTTTAAGAGTATCGATGATAGACGGTTGTAATCTGTATCTGAATTCACCAATCATTCTGTCACCTAACCAAATTGTATATGCTTCGACTTCGCATCGAATTCTACAAAAGAAACAGTATAAAGAATATATAAATAAAAGACTTTTTCGAAAACATTATTTATAATAATATCTTCAGACATATTTGTTACAGTTAATGAAAGTTTTGCGTATATTATTCTGAATCTTTTTTAAAAGAGAGAGAAGAGAGAGAAGAAAGAGAGAAAGAGAGAGAGAGACCTACGTTAGAAGAAAATCACGACCAGGCATCCAGGATAAATGACCTAAGTGTCTCTCTTCTTGTCCCCAAGATCCATTTGACCAACAATTCATTATAACATAAGGTGTGCTACTGCCGTATAAAAAACGAGGATTTAAATGTAGTGCAATTACTGGGTGGGGATAGATTGCTTTTCCCTTTTGTAGATTTATATAAAATCTGTCATAAAAAATATAAAAATATCTTTTAGCGCTTTTTTCACGTTTAAAATCTCATCGATTCTATACCCATAATTTAAACTTACGAATGAGGAAGAAGTTTTAGTCTTCCAGCAATAAAAAGTCTGGTCCCTATTTTAAATTCATTTTCAATATTTACTGTAATTGGAACACCCTATATACATGTATTTAAAAATAATTAACATTTATTTAAAAGGAATAAATTGATAATTTAAATAAAAACTTACGAGAAAATCGACGAGTGGTTGATCAAATTTTAAACTTAAGATATTACTTGGCCTGCATAATTTTGGATCAGGATAAACAAACAATTCGAATTGTCTAAATCTGGTGTCTTCTAATGATCCATTGATTTCTAGACCTGTTATATCTTCAAGAGGCATTCTATATGAGAATGCACAAAAATGTTCTCCATTGACAGCAATCTGATAAAATTAACCTTGCAAAATATTAACATTATAAAACTTATAGTTACATTATATAATCCTTAATTCTTACTTGATATTCATTTACAGTACAAAAGATTAAGATATGGGCGTAGGAGTTCCGTCGAAAAGCAGTATGTCCTGCAGGAGAACAAGTCTCCTCTTCTTCCCAACATCCTTTAAATTTTGAATTTCGAACTACATAACCTCTGTCTAATCGAGCGTTAAAATGCAATGCAATATTTCCAGCAGTTTTGCATAATAAATTCACTGAAAACCTGTAGTAATTTTGCTTTAATTAATATATGATATTGTAATTCTCCAACTTTTTATATAAGGAAATTTTTCTTAATTTACAAAAATTTCACTTATACAATATTTTTTACGATGAAATGTCACCTTAAGGCGTCCGGAGGAACATAGCCTGTAATCACAATAGCTGATGTTGGTTTCAGAGGTTGTAATGAAACTGGTTTTGAAGCATTCTGAAATAGAATGTGTGCAAACTATTAACTGAAAAAAGTATATGATATAAAATATTTTTGCTGATGATTTACTTCTGGAAATTATATTTCTGAGACACCCAATATATTGTATAAATTTTAAACATAAATTATATAATGCACAATCACCAAAGTATCGCATTTTAGAAACAATAAACTGGATGTACATGTATCTAATTAAATACTTTTAATAAACTTTTATTTTATTATGGGAAACCGTTAGCTATTTGAATTTTGAATTTAATTATACATGTACGCGTCTATTTAATTATTATGTATCGAGTGCTTCTATGAAATATGGTTATTGTTGTCAAATAATTTTTGTTTACTAAACATATTTAGATTAAAAAAGAAGTATATAAAAGAATAGTGGGATAAATGTTTGGAAACTGTACATATAAACTAGTTAAAGTCCGGATACGAATCTTCAACATTAGTCGCCATGAGAATCATTTTACTATTTATGCAAGTATTCATCTTCATTTTCCTAATACAAGATAAGTAAGCATTCGCAACTATTTGAATCTAAACAGAGGAAAAAGATAAAATTAAGGAAATGCCGTTTTAAAATTTTTTAAGAATCTAACCTAAAGATATTTCTACTTTACAAGTTTAACTTAATTTTCTGGAAACATATAGTAAATTTAAAAAAGATATTTTGTACAAAGTTAATTACGATTTGAATTAATCTTTAAAATATAATTTAAATTAGACAAGATTTATACAGATATATCATTTAAATTTATAGCTTATTCAAGATTAACCATAACCAATATACCCTATGCAGTTATTGAATTTGTCAATTAATAGTAAATATTAGGTATATGAATGCAAAAGATTGAAATGAGTATTATAGTTATTTATGATATAAGTTCTTTTATATTTAATATGGTATATGTAATAGATTTGTATGTTACAAATGTTAAAAAAATAGATTTTTTCATACTATAGTATTTAATATTTAGTATTCAATTATACTTATTAAGATAGCAGCAGATCATTATGTGTATATAGTTGGAATTACCTAATAATACGTGTGATGTTATGTAGGTAGAATTTATTTTTAGCACTGACTGATGAATTAAATTGATAAAAACCTATTTAAAGTATGAAATACTAAATGAAGGTAATTTGACATGTTGATTTATGAATGTTGAATTTGACGAAGATTTAATACAGTTTAATGTAATATAAGTATAGCGCGTTTAAAATTTTAATTATAATTCAATCAAATTTCTTTACAATATTGGATAATAAGTGGAGTTTAACGGAAAGAATAGGTTAGATGTTTATAGTAAAATTCTTAATTGGCAAATCTACAATTATGTTATCTATGACTCAACTCTTATATTATCGATCCATACTCACTAACGGTGCTGTTTCCTCGTCGACAAACGAGAATTCACGGAGAGCGTTTTCTTTTGTTTGCACGAAAATTTCAGTTGGATGTACTGACATGCTCCCTCTGATAAACTTGAACAATGATTTATTGGAACATTGCCTTATTTCAAGCCGCGCCTTCCTGCACGCGATATCGCTTTCTATTTACTTCTGATTGAAAATGAAGGCGCGTATTTAAAAAGACAACATATATTTTCTTATTCTTATTTTGAAAAATTTAAATAGCTTTATTATTTATGTTTATAATGTTTGTCTCGTGTTACTTTAGAAACATTATTTTGATATAAAAAATGAATGAATATATTTGTAACGTATGTTTTATTGCGTTAAATATAAACAAGAATTATTTTTCTTTTCAAATATAAGAATTCTTTCAAAATTTGACAATGAGTATTTTACAATACTAGTAAATGGCACTAGTAAACATATAGTCAAAATATTAATAATATCGTTATGAAAAATTCAAAGTTTAAAATAAATATATATTTTTGCTTTTGTTTAGTTTCAAAATGTTTTAATTAATTAATAATCGTTAGATTTATCACTCTCTATCTTCATTGCATGTGTTTTATTTACAAGTAGAAAAATATGAGTAAAATCATTTCTGATATCGCTATTACTTTTTTTCGACTAGACTGTTCCTGTTTCATTTTTTGTTTTTCTTTTGTTTCCTTTTTTAAAGAGATGTGTCCAATTAGTGCTAAAATATTTTATGTTTATCTATATAATATAGAATGTAGGAACATAATGAATTTCCACCTTACATCAACTTTGCATTAGTTAATCAGTCACTAGCAAATAATAGAAACTTTTAAGAAATCTAAGGCAGTACATGCTTTTTCAAATTAGGCGTGAGTAATTTATAATGTGCTATTTCATTTCGTATTTAACAACATGTAAAAATAATAAATAAATAAATTGTGAATTAAATCTTTAATAAATTCTAAATCACTTTAGTAAAAGTTTATATTATTTTTTTTTTATTTATTGATTTTTTTCGTAAAACTGCTCACGCTTGTGCATAGAAGATATTCACCTATCTATTAAAAAAAAAAAAAATAATTATATGTGTAATAATCAAAATCGTAAATTATTCAGAAAAAAATACAATTTAGATGTCTCGTGGCTCATGAGGGGCGGGAAGTCGTTGCCACGATGGTTCAACACCCCAAATTTCACGAGCATATTCTGCAATTGTTCGATCCGATGAAAATTTGCCCGAGGAAGCTATATTATTAATCGCCATTTCTACCCATTTGCTTTCGTCCTGAAACAAAAAATTAAAATATAGAAAATAATAATTAAAATAATTGTTCAGAAAACTTTTTACGTATTTGGACATACCTGATAAACTTTGCTGACACGATCTTGTATTTTTATATAGCTCTCATAATCAGCAAATAGATAAAATCTGTCCCAGTTTAATAGAACATTTGCAATATCTTTAAATTCATCTGGATTATTAGGGCTGAAGAAACCACTCTGGATTTGATCAACACATTGTTTTAATTCTGGGATTCTATTATAATAATCATAAGCATTGTATCCTTTCTTCGTCAATGCTTCTACTTCATCGACAGTCATACCGAAAATGAATATATTATCATTACCCATTTCTTCAGCCATTTCTACGTTAGCACCGTCTAACGTACCAATAGTCAAAGCTCCGTTTAACTAAGATAATATAAAAAAAAAATTCACTTATTGCTATAAATTAAGTTCCACATTATTTTAATTTATTTTAATTTCATTTATTTTATTTTAAATATAATCATTATTTTAATTTAGCACTTACCATAAATTTCATATTTCCTGTACCGGAAGCTTCAGTACCAGCAGTAGAAATTTGTTCACTCAAATCTGCTGCTGGAATTATTTTTTCTGCTAACGTAACTCGATAATTTTCTAGGAAAATAAATTTTAATTTGTCGCCAACAATAGGATCGTTATTTATAACATTTCCTACGCTGCAAATTAGTTTTATAATTTTTTTGGCTAAATGATAACCGGGAGCAGCCTTTCCTCCGATCATCACCGTTCGAGGGACGAATGGTGTTGTTGGATCTTTTTTTATTCTATTATATAATGTGATCACGTGTAAGCAGTTCAAAAGTTGTCTTTTGTATTCGTGTATTCGCTTCACCTATTTTATCATATCATAAATTTAATATTAAATTTGCATACGAACATCTAATTAAGTTAATATAAATACCTGAATATCAAAAATGGAGGCAGGATTTACTTTAACTCCATAGTCTTTCTCAAGCATCTGCGTCAATTTTAATTTATTTTCTTGTTTTACTTTCATAACGCTACGTTGGAAGACTGGATCTTTGGCCCATTGTTTTAGTTGAGCAAGTTGTTCTAAATGTACTGTCCAATCACTGCCAATTTTCTAAATAGTAACGGGTAATAATTGGATGTTAAAGGAAGATTATAATCTAGGAATAATTTTTTAATAATACCTACTTCTTCAATGATGTCTGAAAGATTCGGGTTACATAAAAGAAGCCATCTTCGTGGTGTAATACCATTAGTTTTGTTTTGGAATTTTTCAGGCGTAAGTTCATAAAAGTCTTTGAATCTAAAATAATAATAAAATCAAAATTATTAAAAAAATATCTTTTACTACGAATACAATTAATTCAAATTAAAAATTTCAGAAGTACTTACACGCTCTGTTTTAAGATTTCTGAATGCAAAGCTGCGACACCGTTAATAGCATGACTGCCAACAATTGAAAGATGAGCCATGTTAACCCTTTTTTCACCTTCTTCCTCGATCAAAGACATGCGTCGAAGACGATCTACGTCTCCTGGATATTTAGCAGAAACATTTTGTAGATGAAGAAAATTAATATGATAAATAATTTGTAAATGTCTAGGAAGAATGCTTTCCAGCATGCTCGTTGGCCATCTTTCCAAAGCTTCGGGAAGCACTGTATGATTGGTATAAGCGCAGGTTCTCGTCGTAATGTCCCAAGCTTTTTCCCAAGAAAGACCTTCGACATCGATTAAAATTCTCATAAGTTCAGGAATAGCCAACGAAGGATGAGTGTCGTTCAATTGAATGGCCACTTTGTCGGGGAACATATCAAAGTCTGTTCTATGGTGTTCTTTCGAACCAAATTTACTAGCTTTATATCTATGAATTAACATTATAAGAAATTAGTTTTAATACAATTTATTGATGAGTAAATTTTGTAACTTATATAATAATAAGATGAATATGTGACAACCTTCGTATGATATCCTGAAGAGTGGCTGCCACCATAAAGTATTCTTGTTTCAGTCGCAATTCTTTGCCTTCGAAGAAATTGTCGTTGGGATATAGCACTCTGGAAATGTTCTCCGCCAAGTTGCGGTCAATTACGGCTTGGATGTAGTCACCATCATTGACTAAAAAAAAAAGAAAGAAATTTCTTTCCATGGAAATCTGTTTTAACCGATGATAATAAAATATAATATAAAAATTGCTTACAGAATTTCAAATTAAATTCTACGGGAGATTTGGCAGACCACAATCTGAGAGTATTAACAAAATTATTTTTGTATCCCGGTACGGGATTATCGTATGGCATCGCGAATACAACCTGACCGAAAGAAGAATATTTAAACCCTTATATTATTGATAACTTAGGTTTATTTAATTTATACTAACTTGAGTATTGACCCATTTCTTTCCTTCGGGAGTATCAATCACTTGTCCATAAAAATTTACTGGAAGCATAAATTCTGGTCTAGCCTTTTCCCATGGATTTCCATAACGCAACCAATCATCTGGTTCCTCCACCTGTTCTCCATTTTTTATTTTTTGTGCGAATATACCGTATTCATATCGAATACCATAACCATAGGCAGCTAGACCAAGAGTTGCCATACTGTCCAGGAAGCAAGCTGCAAGTCTTCCCAAACCTCCATTTCCTAAACCTGCATCCTCTTCAAGTTCTTCAAGTTCTTCGATGTCTAATCCCATCTATAATAAAAAATTAATTTTTAATTCTTTTCTTTTCTTATGTCTCTTACCGATAGTTTATTTTGAAGATTTTATTCAAAACAAACCTGATACATAGCTTCATCACAAGCACCTTGGATGCCCAAATTGATCATAGTGTTTTGAAGAGTCCTACCCATATAGTATTCCAAGGAGAGATAATAAACTCTCTAAAAAAAACATGATGAAGTAGATCAAAATATCACATGAAGTTTTAATTGTACAATCATTTTCAAGGATAAGTGATAATTTACTCAAAAAATTGAAGATTATATATTCAGTTATAGCAATGGAAGAAACAATGTTATCTCTGGCAGACATGTTAGATATTTTTCAAAGGAACGACGAACCGCAGTAAACATTGAACTATGATTCCATAAATTAAGAAAGTAATTGACCTCGTCTTCTAATAATGATCTATAACTTCAGTCTTATTCTGTATTCTATGCTTCGATTATGAGATCGGTTAACACAAATCTCATGTTATGCGGCAATTGATCTAACAAATAAAAATAAATTGAGCCAATGTTTTGAAATGATAGCAGCACGGAAGATGACGCCCATTTGAAATTGATCTTTATCGCGGTTAACGATTATTTCTAAATATTTTTCTACTCTTCCACGTGTACCAGAATTTATTTATAGTCGTGATGAAAACATCATGGCGTCTCTAGGAAAATTTGCTATTATTTCGTGCTTTGATAAAAATCCGCAAAAATTGACAAGAATCTTAGAAAGTAATAGATTTGAATTTATATATATATATATCGCAAATCATTATATATATCTTTTTACATCGATCTTGTCACATTCCTTTATTTTATATTTTTCTCGTTGAAATAAAACTGAAAAAAATATTGGAACTTTTTAATTATAAAAAATAGTACTATTATTATTCTTATTTTTTAAATAATAGTACTATTGTTTTTTTACTATTATATAATGCCTTTTTTTCACGATGTTTGATCATTGCTTAAAATTAATTACTCTTGTTATGATTTATAAATCGTTTATGAACTCTTAAAACTTTCACAAATCGTAATGGGAGCATGTCCAAAATTTGAATCGCTAGAGAATGTATTAAACGTGACTTCTCGGCTTTTAATAGTTGGATCACGTGATTCGAACTGTCCAAATAATTTCAGTAATTCCGTGTCATTAACGTCCTTATGAAGAAAACGTTGTTTATGGCGCCTTATTTTATACTTACATTTTCGAAATTTTTCTTAGCAATGCATGAAGTACCTTATGTATTAATCATAGAAATATATAAATTTAATCTTCCTTTCATTAATTTATTAATCCTCGTTCATCTATTTTGTTTTATATAAATATCGTATATGAATAATAGAACATTAGTCCATTTCGAAGAAAGACGTTGGTAATTTATACTTGTGTAAGAGTATAGTAGTACGTGTTGTGTATCTATACTGTACCAATTTTATTCCTGTCCGCCCACTCCTACAAATTTATGGGCGTCGGTCACTTCCTAGTCCCGTTTCTTTTTTTTGTTATCTCCTTTCTCGTTTCCTTCAATCCTATTAAGCTTCCCTTCCCTCGATTTTGACCCTCTTGCGATTTTTCCGCTTTTCCCCCTGTAGATACGATCTCCCTATTTCTTTACGTGATATTGCCTTTTATATTTCTTCCGCCTTCGCGTATCAAGAAACTTACTTTCCTCTTCTTTGGAGCAAATTTCATAAAATGTCCTAGTTACGCTTTGCAACTATTTTATGTGTATAAAATATGTAATAATCCAAAGAAAACTTTCTAGAATATATTTAAGTACATCGATGTTTCGTGGTCTAAAAATCGATCAACAGTTATAAACAAATATAATAATTTTTTAAAATAAAATTTTTATTATTGAGATTCTCCCAATAATTCCTATAATAAGTTATATTAAAAGATTCATGTCTTATAGTAGTTGATCAATGTACATAATGTTTCGTAAATTCGTAAACAATTATTAATTATCTATCGATGTTATTGGAATGCTATCACAGATGACAGCACTATCGACATCGTGACATTGCTTCGAAAAGAATGAAAACTGTTTGGCTTGAGACCTCAGGGTGAGACGATTATAAGGCCAACCAAAAATAGACACTGCAACGTGTTGCATCTTATATTTCGAAGGTTCATTGCAATATAGCGCTTCTATAAGTATAAATAGTACACATACATTTATTATCTTATAATTGGCTGCTCAATTTTCACAGTAGCTCGAACGTAGACATTCGTCGATAACTACTGCTATGTGTTGATTTGTTTCTAGGTTAATTGCGATTACGAGTCAAAATTACCTGTTATTTATGTATTTATATTTTAAAACTACTAACCAGCCGGAAGTCATTAACCAATATAGTAATGCAAGCCTTTTGTATTCAACTAGATAACGAATCACGAAGTTGTAAGGTTGTTGAGACAGAATCAATTCAATGTCATCAAACACATTCGTGGGGGCCATTAACCGTTGTTTCAGAAATGTGTCTTAGAAACAAAACAATAAGTATTAAACACGATTGAATAAATATGTCAATCAGCACGAAATAAGCGTGGAAATTCTACTTACCGGCAATCGTTAAGTGAGGATATATAATAGATGAAATTTATTATTAATTATTAGAATTATAATTTACATGCACAAATTAAAGATGAATGATTAGAAACACTAAGTGATAGGTAACCAAAATATACTTGTATGAACATACTTTTGGGTCTTTCTCGTAGTAGTATTGCTGAGTACGAATCCATCTAGAGACTAGGTTGTCCTTGACGCTGTGTGCCAAGGCGAAGAAATAATCCCTACTTGTAGCTACATTACGATCCTTTACGAGAGTATAATGTAGATGTCTATTAAAAGTTTTCTTGAAATTTCCCACATTCTCTACATCAACGATCCCGCGCACTGAAATTTGCTTCCTCTTCTCTTGATCTGCCGCTGAAGCTGACATTTCTGTTTGTTTATCTTTTCCTTTTCTTCACAATATGATGTTTATCAATGTAAAATTACTTTATGTACAATTTGTATTTTCTTGTTTCTATTACAGAAAGTCAATTTCGTACTCTAACACTTCAGATTTAATTCAAGTTCTTCTCGTTTTTGCGAATTTAGCTTTATTTTATTAATGAAATTCTTTTCATTAAATTTATCGTTATACACAGATGCAGAATTGAATTTTGAAGCTTTTCACTCATAGGCAGCGATACGTTGTGAATGTGGTGTAATAATGCTTCTATTATCGATACCGAAGGTTGTTGAGCACAATGACCGGTTTTCACGACACATGTACGAAAGCCGGTACTTAATAGATCCTCACGGGTTCGCTACCCACAGACGAATAACACGCGTACCACTGGCAATCTTTGAAGCGGTCACCTTGTATGAAGGTCGCGCATGCGCGTTATAAAAGTTTTGTCACATGATCTCTAACGGTAATACCGATCGGGTTACAAAGAATTAAATGCACTTTCCCGCCATCTATGATGATCCTTTTGTACTTGTTTACTTTAATTTTTTCTAGCGACGTATATACGAGTTTAATAACAGTTTTATTATGCTTTCAACAATATTATATAATGAAGTAATAAGTGTACTAAAATGTGTACTATTTTAAATAGAATAATTAGTTAATTTTCTTTTAATTTTGAAGGATAAAAAGAAACCAAACTTCGTAATTCAGTGTCTTATTTAATATAATTTATTTATAAATTAATCGTGCGGATGCAGATGCAATAATGAAAACGTCAATAAGCGATACGCGTATTACAATTTGCATTCTGAAAAAGATTCTTCTTCCATCTCTATCTATTTTTCTCGCATTTCTTTCCCATCGTAGTTGTCTTTTTTACGGACGTTATATTTTAAAGTAAAGATTAACGGTAGTACCCAATTAAATTTCATTGAGACTCTGTCAAATCGTATCATCGTAAGGAATCATGCAAATGAACCTTTATGCTTCGATACATCGATCAACGATGCAACACGATTTAAACAATTTCAAACGAAATTTCGGGTACTAGCGTCGATTTGTTTGGAACGATATTATAATAAAAATTCGCAATTCAGCCAACAACTTTCCATCATAATGTTTAACCATATAGTTACACTTAATAATATGATAGCGATAACTATATTATTCGAAGAAAAAATCTTCGAAAACGCCGAAGAAAAAACAGACGGCGCTACTTTTATTACTCTTCCATACTCACATACACACGCGTTCATTCATCATGTCCACTGTTTCTTAAAAGAATTGTTAATGAGCGATGATTCAGAAATCGATTGATATGCGGACCCACTAATAATTTCCAAAAAACTTACATTTTTAATCACTTGTTTACTGAAAATATATTACTGTCAAAATGAGGCACTTTTTAAATTGTTTTATTGTTGCAAGAAGAAGTCGATGATTTTAACAGTATTCAATCACCAAATATAAAAACAAATCTATTTAGGAAGTATAAATCATTAATAAATATATCAGAAAACTCATGATTGAAAAACTTGTATATTAGGTGTTAACTATATTAACTTGTCAGACTTTTATAACAATGCAAGTTTTAATTAGTTAAATTTCATTTTTTTTTTTTTTTTTAAATTACTGAACTATCAAAGAAAATCGACAGTACAACAAACATCACGTTCCTTTTCGAAGTTAATTTTCAATCACACATACATACATAAATTCCGAAAGCACTATACTTATTCACCTATAAACAATGTAACTAACTGAAACAAATTATTTTTTTTTTTACAAAATGTTTTAAAATAATAAAAGTTATTTTATTTTTTAAAGAATAAATTTTTAAATCTAATACTTATAAATTTCTACGTGTAAACTCAATAGAAAATTTTAAACCTTAAATATATCGAAAATCAATCGATTTTTAAATGAATAGTACTAATATATTATTTATAGTTATTTCAATTATTTCAAAAATAATCCAAAATATACAACATTCATAACATCATTAGCAACAAATAACAAACTTCTCAATTTCTGTATATTCTCATTCCTTTTTACTCTCTCTTTCACACTCACCATACATATGTAACTCATTCCTTCTTTTTTCTTTATAAAGCATTGATTTTTAAAGATAATCAGTTATGCATGAAGCAAAATTTTGTTATTTTTATAGGTTATATTTAATTGTTACTGTTAACGATTATCCTTCTTTTTGCTTATTTTTCCATGGTAGCAAAAAGAGCGAGAGGCTCCTGTCCAGACAATTCGTAAAAATTCATAATTTGTATTTACAATCATATAAACCTTGTTTCTTGATGTATTAATTTATATGAATTTTAGGTAAATATACGCAACACATATAAATAGAAAATTCTTAGAAGTACCAATTCAAAGTTAAAAACAATAGAAGTCAATAACTGTTTTTATTAGACCAAAATTAATGACAAAAAGAATGTAAATTGATATGCAACTAAAAGAAGTAAGTAGACAAAAATCCAGAGAACTGAGCTAAAATCACATATTGAAAAGAAAATATAATAAAAATTCTACATAAATCTTCGTTTAAAATAAATATTAAAACGGATTTTAGATCAGTTTCCGTTAATGAAATTATTTAGATTTTCAAAAATGAACAAAATTTATTAAAAACAAAAAAAGTTTTCATCTATCTCTAAGTTATCGACATTATTTCATCTTTAACATCTGGATATAGTCATATAGTATCATTGTCACACGTTCAATGTGTGTATATTGTATATTGTATATTGTTGTAGATTAAACAGCTTTATATCACGTTTATGTTATAACACTAATATTCAAGCAATATACATTTCAATTCAGAAGTCTTAAAGAGGGGAGACAAATCAATGACAAAATGATTTTTAAAACAAATTACTCTATCACCTCAAGTTATACACATGATCTTAATTATAAAAAAAGTGGATTTCTTTGAACAATTGCTCCTGTTCAAATGTCCAATTAGAAAAGGAAAAGAAAAAGAAAAAGAAATACAAGTCGTAAAGTGAAAACATCAAAATGTAAATGGGAAAAGAGAAAGCACCCCTCGCCATTTTCGTTCCAAAGATATTTCTCAGTAATTTCTAATGTAGAATTAAAAGAAATTTACTGGAACATAAAGATTAATCATGGCTAATCTCAATGGGACCGCATATCATTCTATGTTTGAAGAAGAAAGATCAGTTCGGACTGGTGTGGGAGAGTGCGAGGAAAAAAACAAAAAAGGGAAGAAAAATCAGGATACCCCTAAGAGACACACACATTGCACCGTTCATGATTTTTGCGTAGAGTACACCAAAGGGCTCTATTCGCCTCTTGTGTTGCAACGGATTAACATAATCGCTAAATGTTACTTCTTTCCGTTTATTTCGATTAACAGGGACAGCTTATAGATCCAGAAAAGGAAAACTCGTGTTACGACATCGTCGGACACTGAAATCCAGCTGTCGAACTTTAAAACATTGAGAAAAGTCACTTTTTTCTTTAATATCATGTGATCTTTTCTCGTTGTCCTTTCTCGTAGCAATGTTTTTCCCATTGCAATTTTTATTCATGTTTTCACTTCTTCTTTCTTTTGGAAATATTTCTTGTTTTAGGTAATTCTATTTCCCCTTTCTTTTCTTTACATATATATTTTGAATGCTTTTCCATTACAGTTTCTTGCAAAGCCATGCTTCTATTGTAACTACTTTTTTTACCATGTTTTATTTTCTCATATATAAGAATTTTAGAATTAAAAAAAATTACTTCGTTACTTTAAATCTTACAACGCTAAGAACTTTTTCCTTCTGCATCTTTTTATGATATATTATTTATAATATATATATTATACATATATATTATATATAATACATATACGTGTGTACATGCTTTGTGTGTACACGCACGCGCGCGCACGCACGTGTATGTGTGTGTGTTGTGTATGTATGTTTTTTCGCGTGTTTTCAGCATACTCTTTGTTTATCGCTATCGTTATATTAGTATTTCGTATTTCATTAATTCTCTGTTGTTTACTGTTCTTAACTATTCTGCGTTTTCTTGTAAATATTTTTCTCTTATCATTCTTCGTTTGAACTTCGTATATTTTGTTTTCTATTTCTTTTTTTAATTTCTTCTTTTCTTTCATATAATCTTTACGATTCTATCGAGTAACCGTTCTTTCTTTCGTTCCTGCGTGGATTCCGTAACTGTCCGACAAACTCGCTTAAGTTTATATTGCCCCCGCGTGATGATACGTATTTGTATTTATTCTTCCTTCTTTGGTTCTTTCTTACCAAATGGTATCGCAGCTTTCACTCTGAAACAATAATTAATAATTAATAAATACGTCTGTACAAAATCTAAATTCATTTCTTCAAAGTGCATGTAATTTTTTGTGTAACATATAGCTGTATGTGTACACAAAGATCATAGAAATCGATAATATGAAGGAAAACTGAACCATTCTCCATTTCTTAATTTAAAGAACCGATTCAAAACATTATTTTAATAGATTCCGTGTCGTGATACATATCTATTACTAACGCGATAATTGTAAATTACAATAGGGGGAACCATAAACGGTATCCATACTCTATGTTCGACATCAATCTACGTTAATATTTTATGCAACGAATGGTTAGTTATAGGGGGAACATATGCTACTTTCGGAGTGGAATACATCCAACGTAATACATGGATATCCTAGTCTATTTGGAGATAGATTATTTATCAAAGTATCATACGTATAGTATAGTCAATGAAACTTTGAGAAAAAATAAACCACTCCAATTATAGTATTCTATTCAATTTCATAAATTCAATTAGGATAGAATAATTCAGAATTGTCCGAGATTAAAATTTTTTCTGTTTTTATTATTTTAATCATTAAGTGTACTTACTTAGTAGTGATCTCGTTAAGCTTGCTTTTCACCACGGCTATATTCTGATCAATTTGTGCCTTATTTGTCTCGTAGACTTTCGGTAGTGTGAATAAGGCAACCACACCTATACGAAAAAATCAATTGATTATTATACGAATGTTAAACGATATATGAATCATAATATACATATTCCAAATATTGCAACAACTTTGATATTACATGACAAAAAGCAATAACTTCATTATACGTTTCAGTGTCGTTGTAGACACACCGGCAAATTAGAATTTACCCTCTTAATGCTGAATATTGAAATATTAATCCTATTGATATTTCTAGAAAGATATACCTACAACTATTTCTTATTTGTAGAAAGACAAAGCAGTCCTAAAAGTACCGCGATCGAATATATTTCGGACGTTAATAAAAAATAGTTCATTAATATGTTACGAATTTAATGTACCATCAGAATCATTCCACAAAATTATGAATAATTGTGAAATTTACCAATTATAATAAGAGTCATGCCATTGAACCAAGAGCCCACATAGGTGAAACACCAAAGAAAGATACCAAATTTCCAGGAGTCGATAAAGTCTTCGACAAAGAAGAGCCTACGAAGTTCGCTGACTCCTGCGTTGAAGTGGGCAATGGCCACATCTGCTACTTCATGCACCTTATCCGCGGGCAACGTTAAGTCCATTTCCAAAATTTTTCTAAAATTACAAACAATATGTCAGTATTAAATTATTTAATATTCAAAGGATCATATGTATGTTTCACTTTTTAGATAATCAAGAATTGTGTGTCTTACTTTTATGGATTTTTATCTATGAAACGAGAATACTTACTGGAAGGGATGCCCATCGGAAGTTTTCTGGATGGCTTGAAGGACAATGTTGTGAATCCTGAAGGCATTGGTGCATATAAGAACAAAAATAGAGGAATAAGCAAGAACGCTTATCAAGCTGAAATAGGCCAACGAAAGGAGCACTCCTAGTATGCAGCCGAACACGGGGCCTGATTTCTTCGGATCACGCCAATAAATTAGAGCTGCCACTAAAACAGAAAAGTACACCGTCATTAGAATCTTCAAATTCATAATTGCCTTATTCTCATTATGTAATCTATTACGATACTAGCTTTCACATTTCTACTGATTCGCAAATAACACAGATATCCATATAAGCAACAATAAAAATATATATCTGAATACCCATAACAGTCTTCAGGGAATATGGGTGTAGGATAGTATACATACAGAATATTTAGCTCTTGCTGAAATTGTTCACTGCTTTAGAAACAGAAGCTCCGTGTTTAAATATCATTTCTGTTCGAATTAATCAATGTTGAGACAGGATCAGAAGACTGATCAGGATCATAACAGAAACCCTAGCAATATCGTGCCATTTATTCAATATCTGAAGTGTATACTCGATACAGAACAAGTAGAACTTCCCGTTTTCGATGTTTCTCCACGAACACGTGCTCCTGAACCATATGTTAACGAGTATGACTAACAATGGAATCTTTTCCAGGGAAAAGGGCACTCACCGGTACCCACATCGGAGAACTCCTCGACGGGTGTTTTTAAATTGTTTCTTCGCACCATTTTCGATGAAGGAACAGAGACTATGATAAGAGAGGTTGATAGCGAAGAAAGGTAAGAAAGAACTGCCACCTCTTTCCGTGGTTTCGTTTGCACATAGAGTTCACTACATATCTCGCGATATTACGAACATATGTGTGCACGAGAATGGGCCAAGTGGGAGTGGGAAGCAGAGCGAGAAAACTGGAATGGGAAAAAGAGAAACAAAGGAAGCCAATGAAACAACAGGGAAAATAAAATAATAGTGGGAAGTGGAAGAGGAAAGATAACTCGGTAGAAATGCTTTATTAATCGCAATTAATGCGTCAGTGATCAAAATGAGAATCAAATGCGCATAATTTGAATGGATTTACAATGGTTACTTCAATGAGTCATTTTTATAGTAGGTAATTCTTCTAATTGTTAGGCGTGGGAAGGTCTTTTTTATTGTCTGCATTTCTGACGCGTAGATGTTTTGAGTTTAGTTCGAGATCAATTAGATATATCCAATTTCATAGATTTCTGGCGATTCTTAAACGGACACCATTTTAATAGCTTTGTATATTATTTCTGTTTGAAGTAGTGAAGATATGTCACGCAAATTATTAGTGTTCTCTAGTCAGACTTCTCTATTTATTTACATTGTTCAAATTTTCGAAAAATTATTAAATTAAAAAAAAAAATCTAAACTTGAAAGATTAGTATTGCCGGTCACTGGTGACCATAATTTTTGGTACAATTTATAAAGAATCGGATGTAATCTGAGCCAATTTTACTGGTACTTAACCCTTTCACTGCGCGACCTCGGAGTAATCCATTAACAGGGACGGCGCGTTATTTGAATGTCAGTTGCTGTGCTGCGCAGATCAGTGAGCAAAACAGTACTCGTAGATTTGATACCATTCTTAGGATTTAAAAAACAGTAATTGCAAATAAATTTAAAATATCCATTTCTTATTTATTTTAAGTACCTTTTTAAGCTATTTGAATTTACTTAATTCAACTTGCAGTTTTCTTCGATAATAGTGGATAATTAAATATAAAAGAAAAAACCCGAAATTGATAATGAGGAACAAATTCGTTTTAACATAACAACGACAAGCAATTTTAACATAATGAACGAATAAAGATAATAAAAAGGTAATAGAAACAATTTAATAATCATGACAACGATTCACTGAAAAATACTTTGAAACAATTGCGGATAGTTTAGTTACTATATTACATGGAACGATAAATTCCATGTTGAATCAATCGGTAAAATAGGGAAGGTGTTATAGGATAAAAATACAGACGGCGTATATTTACGCCTTTCGTATATATCGATGAACTTGCGAGGGTGTACTATACACCTTTCGTATATATTGATGGACTTGTGAGAGCGTGTATATGCGCCTTTCGTAGCGAAAGGGTTAAATGCATTCTCTTTTGCATCCTTTCATTGCTTTGCTCTTTAAAATTTCGAATATATTCACATCTGAGATAAAATTTAACATGTACCTGTACTGTAGATTCTCTAAGATTATTATATACGACATAAACGAATAATTAGTAAACTCTTTCAATCATTTTAGATATAGTAATCGAACCAAAATATATTACATGAACAATTAAAAATCTTATAAATCAGGAGCCTAGGTAATTCGTGTAATTACACCATAATTAAACATGCAAGAAACAATGATTAACGGTAGCGACCGATCGCGGACAGCCTTGAAGATACCCTAATAATAGAGAGCTAGTGGATTCTCGAATTTTGCCATCAGCTTTGTCTCTAATCCAAAAAGGACGCTCTATTAAACTATTTCCAAGGCCTCCTCAACGTCGTACGATTCTGCCAAACGAATTTATGTCATCTGTCCCAATTCCTGATTAAACAAATTCCATTTCGTTGAAAGTCCAGCTCCTTCAATCTAAAATTCATCGACGATCTCAAAAATGTGACTTCGACCTACCTGTAAGAGAGATTCGATAAAGGAATACGAAAAGAAGCAGACACTATAGCGTTTTATCGTTTTATTAACGAAGGTGACGCTTTCAAGAGACATATCAGTTGCAAAGAAACCATAATCGATGTAACGTGTCAACTGGAAGACTCTGTATGGAAAACTACGTGATATAATATGCCGGGGAATATATACGCACAAGTTGGATCTGTCATGTAACTGTGCATGAGCAGAATCTTAAAACTACAATATGTATTCCGAACATTTACTGTCCTATAGTTATGCTACTGTTATAGTCAACTGGCATCATCCATTAGGTACGTGTAAAGAATAATCTTCTTTATAACTGTATAGACTTCATTTAAAAATTTTGTCATTAATCTTTCCACAGTGATGCATTATTGACGAATAAGATGACGAGTAAGGAAGAAATTTGGAAGTTTTATTTTATAAAATATTTTTCGTACCACGTACCACAGTGTAATGATAAAAATACGGAACTATCGTCAGAAGAATCCTACGTAACACACTTTTCATCGAGTAATGTTCAATTGTTCACGTCCTCCAGACGCATCAAACTATTAAAGAGTTCAATCACAATCGGAGTTGGAGCTTATCCAGACATGAACACAGATCATTAGAGCCAAAAAGACAGAGACATGTCGCTTACAAGCATTATATGTCGAAGGAAAAAGACAGAGGGAAACGGTCGGGTGCGGTTTGGCGGTAGAAAATCAATAAGTTGTCTCCGGTAGTGCGACGCCCGGCGTCGCAGTGTCGGCCGTTGCCTCAACGTCCCTTACTATTCCCAGAAATATACCTGCTAACGGATATTCTACCCTCGGCAAATTCACCCTCCGTTTGCTCTTTTCCCTGCAGGGGAAATTACATACTACGTCTCGACTCAAAATGACGATCTTCCTTTTTCCACCCAGCACTAAACGCGAAGCTTCCTCGATTATTGACCAAACTGTTCACCATCCCAGGAAATGACTATTCCGTTGTTCAAAATTTTATCAACGCGAAGAAGAATATTTTTAGGACAACGTGAAGCGATTTTTTCAAGAAGCAGATTAAATCCCGGCCCTCAGCTTCCGATGGAGCTGTCGCATTGCGTCAGCAGAGTAGCTTCAGGCTTGGAAAGTTTCACGAATAGGGATTGATTCTCTCCTAAGATGAAATCTGACAAAGAATTCGATTCTTTCAGCGAGCTGGATCGCGTCCAAGCGCTAAAAGTAACACTGTTTCAAAGCAAACAGTGCAATGCACCGATCTTGCGAGTACTCGAGAAGAATCGTTCAATCACAAGACACAAAGTGTCCCCTTGCTAATTGCCATCGCAATTACCGAGAAATTCTTCAGGCACGATTTCCATGGTCCTCATTAAGTCTATTTCTAAATGAGCAAATAACCTATAAATTAACCTCGACGTATTTTAGAAATTGCGAATATTAATTTAAAACTCATTTTTCCAACTATTTGGATAACCAACGATTAATATCCGCTATTTATTACGTTCCTTTCCAGTACTTTATCCGAGTATCTCGGCAATTTAATTCATTTCTCCAAAGATCTCTATCAAATTGCAAACCTAACCTAAAAGAATCCGTCTGATCATCGTGATCTTTAAAAGACTTCATCCTTCCATCATCGTGTAATCACTTTCGGAAGTAAGGAGTGACTCGTCATATTCTTCGAAATACCATTCCGAGACTAGAAATCTCAGCCCGGTTATAACCGGTCGTAAAAATCATTAACTTTTCCAAAAGCCCCCACCCCGATGTTCTAGCGTAACCACGTCTGCGCAGCTTCTTTCATAAATTGGCAACCTGTCAACGTCCGCGAACAGCGTACCTGCCGTCGAATCGCTTCAGATTCGAACAACCCTTTCGGCTCTTACTCACGTTCCTCCCTCGTGATGGCCATGTCTCCGTCTGCTTCTTCTTCCCTCCTCTAGAAGCTCGAGGAACACCGAAGAGAGAAGACGGCTCGAGGATAAACCGTATATACCGTGAAGAAATCGAATGGAGAAATCGACGAGGAAACGCGGTACACACTCCGCGGTAGAGATAGACTGTGGTCTCGTCGAGGGAAAAGCGAGAGTTCCCTTCGAGATTTCTGGCAGAGCACCAACAGCCTCGAACCCGGCTGGATACTATATTTAACCCCGGCTACGGTCGCCAATCGTCTCCGGCTTTTTTGGATTCTAACCGCGACACGGATCCGTTCGAGATTTCAATGAACGGGAACAAAGGAGAAAATACCGTTGTAAGAATGTAAGAAGCTAGTTTAGCCGGTTTTCGGGAAATTGGAACATCAACGACAAATAGGTAGGGCGAACGATAGGATGCGATCACGGCGCCATCTTGCTTGCTGACCGAGACCTGAATTAGGAGTAACACGGGGAATGCCTTGGTACGATCGAAACGTAGGCACTTAGCTCTGAATAGATTGGAAGCGGATGTTTTGATCAGAGAAGATATTTTTCGGCTGCCCGATGGCGCATAACGCTTTTCCCCTGACGCAGTTTTCTCAATGAAAATTTCTTGCGCAGTAGAGGCATTGAGTCGTAGACGATTTTTCGGATCCCTTAAGAAGATTTGACAGCAAATAGTGACTCCATAGTATGGTATAAGAACGAAGCCTTAATATGGAATATATTTTACTAACAAACATAACCTATTTGAGTAACTTTGCAGTTGCTTGAATAGTTACCAACCAAATGAATCATACTCGAACTATGAGCATTTAACAAAAATTAACGAGGTATCTCGCGTCGCGAAAATTAATATGATAAAATCTTTTAGATCTATTTAGCAACAGCGTGAAAATAAAACTTTACAGAATGATATAGCAAAATGAAATATTCGTAATAAACGATAAACAGGATTTAGATTTAGCATAAGTTATCCAACGCAAAAGTTTCCTAGTCGCAAGCCAGACTCGAAGCAGCTAATCCGTGCTGGTAGCTTTATCCACAGTCGTCAAGGAAGTTAACCAATCGAGATACGGAACTCCAGAAGCGGATCCAAACTGTGTACAACACCTGTATAAATCTTGTACAATTGTTGGATCGACACTCCGAGTATAAGAATCGAATCATCGCGTCGAAATGCAAAAGGAACTAATACCAGAGGAGTCTATGGAGATTCATAGCCATGTCATCGAACCTTGGGGGATCAATATTATTTCGATATCGTTCACGAAAGCAATTCTCCAACAATAGACACATCTCTGGCTTCCTCGATACTCTTCACGAGGTACTTGACCCATACACATATACACAGACTGCTCTCGTTTTACAGTTTCTAAAGGGAAAATCAATACTACTAGCACTCGAGGGGACAAAGGAGCTAGATTGTAAGTACCATCTAGGAGTCTAGATGGTGCCAATTTTCCTGAAATTACACCGAGAATAGGATGAAATACTCATCATTGCTATCATACGCCAGTAACTAGAATTTTTAACTCTCTAAAAATTTCCTTCTCCTAAATTATTTGCTAAAGAGTCAAGTAATTACATCCAAGTTACAACTCGAGCTCCTATCTTACATTTCCCTTATTACCTACATTTTTCGCTACATTTATCTGAGTATTAATTAAGAGCAATAAGATTGAAAAAACTCGACGAAATATCTATTTATAAAATTTAAGAGCTTCGTCGAGATTAATGAGATTTACTACCGTGTAAAGAGAATACTGATAAAATTCGAATAAATTTTTGTTTCGGCCGTCATCTTTATCGAGAGATTAGAGGAGAAAGTTAGGTAATGACCTCAAATTTTTGGATGATAATGTATTACATTATGACATACGAATGAGACACATTGGAGCATATAAAGACAAGACTTGGCCGTGCTCTTAGGAGAAGGTTCAGAAGAAGTTACCTATTGTCCAGCAAAAGTGATGCATTCATAGCTGATCTTGCGCTTTGAGAACGCATCGTTAAACTTTGCGACGAGAATGACGTTTCAGAAACAGCATACGATCATTTTATTTGCGGGACAGCGGTTCTCAAGGATTTTACAGCAACTGCATTTTCATTGTTTAGCGAAGCAAAACGATTCGAAGGAATTGTCTCTTACTCGAGCGGAAATGTCTGCGAGTTTTGCTACCAATTTATTGGTAATATGTACAATACGAAGAAGAAAGGAGAGGACAAAAGAACGTTTAATAATAGACATTTAATCTTACTGAGGAAGTTCTACAGACGGTACAAAGGTCTTTCAAAAATGAAGCAAGGCTTTCACGATAGTTCGTCCGATACAAATAGTCTGAGTCATTTTCACTATCTGCCTATTAGATTTATTATTGTTTCCTGTCAAATTTCGAATCAAATTCGATGACAAATGGGAAATCTAATCTAGGAGAAACAGTACAGAGATCCCATTGGATATATGAATTTTAATTATTGAACACTCTGTTTAACAATAAACTAGCCTTAACGTGGCTTTATATCAAATTTCCCACGATTTCCTTAACGTAAAAAATATTTTTTGGTCAAATTTGTCTCATATTCTCTCATAACTTCCTATACTGGAAATTAAACCTGACACAATCAATGAAATGACACAATGTCTTTTATTAAAAAGTTTTTGTATCTACTATTTAGCATTTACTATCTACTACACTTACTATTTATAGCAAACACTTCTATAAACTCCAGGTGAGTCATACTGTATACGGTAAGTAAATTACAAACAGCTTTCTTTACCACTTTCCTTCCTTTTTATGTCTACTTTATATTGCAAGCACAAAACACATATACAAAAAAAAAAGAAAAGAAAAGAAACTTGACAATACAGGAGACACATGTACGTATAAAATTGTCGAACACACAAATATAAAAGCAAATGGACGGACATCGACATCGAGCTTGGTGTCTTACCTTGTGGGTTCAGTCTATCGGGGTTAAACCATGCGCCTGTAAAGAACAGAGTCGAATTGTTAATTCACGTGATCGATACAGATCTAGATAACTACTCTACGATGATCTATGAGAAATGAATGAATGACAACAGAAGAAATTCTCGATATTGTGTAATTAAAAAAAAAGAAAAAAAAAAAAA